TCTGTGTGCGGGATGATGTTACGTAACTCTGTACTGACACATTTCATCTCTGCACTCTCTTCAGGTGTTCCTTCAGTATACCTAAACATGTGAGGTTTAAAGGAGGAGAGACAGCGGAGAACATCTTATATTCATTGAAAAAAGGGTTTGTGTGTGCGGTTTTTTTTGTTTTTTTCTTGGAGGAGGTGCTGAATGAGCAACTTGCTGTAAGAGACAGGAGGTCACTGCTGCACTGTCTGGAAGATCACAGCTCAGACTGTATCTTGCACAGACTGCCACTGTCAATTTGAGCAGCCCTCTAGATGCTAAAATCATAGCGTTCAAGTGTTTGTTATTTTAAAAGAAAAAAACCCTTTACATACATGTACTTAACTGAGTGGCCCCAAACCTCCTCTTCTGGGGTCCCCCACTGGCATTCCTGTCTTTTTTTTTTTTTTTTTTTCCTCAGTGTGCCACCATAGGAAGCCGCTTCCTTATTCCGAACCACCTGTGAGCTCGACCCCCAAGCCGTGCTGCATGTGTCCATAGACAGACAGCGAGGCGAGGCCCATCCCTTCATCACAGGATCTGACTGACAGCAGCAGGGGCCAATGGCTTCCATTGCTCTCTACAAAACCTGTGAGAGTGGGGAAAAGAGGAGAGAACCTCTGCTCTCTGGCACAGCGCTGGATTGAATGTGGACTTGGGTGAGTAAAAAGGGGTGAGGGGGCGATACACATACTGAAAAATTTCTTGTTACCTTAATGTAGAGAATCTAAGCTGTGTATCATCCTCCTCTCCCTGCTTTCTGTTTCACCAATCACAAACTTCCAAAGCACGTTAAAATCTGATGGTGCTTGTTAAAAATATCATCTCCCTTTTTTTTTTTTTTTTCTTTGGGCTCATTTACACTTGACTTCAACAAAGAGATTACCGCTTCAACATGCTTTTTTGATGTGTTTTTGATGCTTTTTTGAAGCTTTAACGAAGCTTGGCAGATGTCCTGTGTGTGTTAATTTTCTACTTGTTTAAATGGGGCCTAGTAGAACCCCAGCTCAGTAGTACCCTCACTCAGAAGATCCCCAGCTCCTAAGTACCCCTGTTCAGTATTGGTACCCTCTTTTAGCAGATCCCCTGCTCAGTAGTATCCCCAGCTCTGTTGATGCCCCGCTCACTAGTAATCCCCATCTCTGCTGATCCCCCACTCAGTAGTAGACCCCAGCTCTGCTGATCCTCTTTCCTCTCTTGTCCCCACTCGCCTCCCACTATATTGCACCACATGTTGCATTGTTAGTTTCTTCAGGTCTGCCAGCTCTGCTGATCCTTCACTGCTTAGTTCTCTTGCTCCAGTCCCTGCTCACCTTCCGCTATAGCATTCTGATGTTGCAAACTGTGTTCCATCTGCTAGTTGCTGAGCTCCAGTCTGGACCCCACTCACCTTCCTGCTGCTCCGTGCTGCACACTTGATGTGACATCTGCATCAGGCACTTCCAGAATATATACACATGAACCAGAGGTGACTGCTGATTTACGTCTTTGGTTGGCTTGCTGGTCTCACAGATATCCTGGGATATCTCATACCTGTAATACCTCTAAAACAAAGCAAAGCTGAAGCTGACTAAAAGCCTCTCAAAAGCTGCAGGTGCTGTAAGTGAGCTTTGTCATAGACTTCTATGGAGGGAGCTTTGGAGACCCTTTGAAGCACCATGAAAGCTACATGAAGTATAATTTTTGAAGCAAAGCAAACACAACTTGTGAACAGGACTGGCATTCAAAGCACTTTTAAAAAAGCATGTGCAGTGCCACATTTTGAAGCAAGTGTAAACAAGCCCTTTTCACCTTCGGCTATGTGGTTGGTGTTCTGGTCTTCATATTATTCTGACTGGGGAAATGATGCTTGCTTGGTTGCCCTTTACTTGCCCCTCTCTGGCAGCACTAGGGTCACATTAGCTGAATGAGGGAGAGAAACTGAGGGAGAAGAGAAACGCTGGGATAGTAGTCAGTACCAGTGTGAAAGAATAAATTACCTCCGACGTTGGGTGTCCCACATGTACAGATGTTGCTGTACTATTAGTTTTGTTTTTTACATTTTGTAATAGGTGCCTTAAGATTGTGTGGAATTTTAAAGGGTGCCTTGACTGGAAAAAGGTTGAGAAACACTGCTCTATCAAACCAATGTTCGTTTTGAACCATAGTGACAGGAAAATTCAAAGGAGCAGAAAATCAAATATTTCTTAAATTTCTAACAGTGAGTGCTTTCTATTCGGATTGAATGTTAAAAGCGAGTAACATTTTTGAAGTACTTTTAAATGGCATTTATCAAATCTCTGATGGCATTCTGTATTGACTTTTACGTAAAAATGTTTGTTCGAAAATCTACTAGCGTATGGCCAACTTGAAGCTTTTTTTTTTTTTTTTTTTTTTTTTTTTTTTTTTTTTTTCAAAAAAACTGACCCGATTTCCCCATCCACACATTCAGTATGGATGGGGGAATCCTCCCCACTGTGTTATTGTATTGTGACAGCAGGGAGACTTCCCCGCCATCAGAATATATTCCCCTCTATAGCCCTCTATAGCCCGCAGTGCTGATTTGAGCTGAAATTTTCACACAGGGTGGTGGGTGTGCAGAAGTCATTCAACTTTTGTTCAACCACATGATCCTCACCCTGCAACAAAAATAGTTTATAATACATTTTGCCTTCGCTTCTTCCCAATATGGTGATTTTCCAGCATGTTATATTCCTGAGTGAAATCAAGTATCTCCTGCTGTCTGAGGGGCTCATTACCACATCTGTACACAATTGCCATGGTAATCATAAGCAGTTCTGATCTATGATCAGCCTAAATTTCTAATGCAAGGGTAGGTCTCAGATGTCTCACTAAATAATTAAAAATCTGTCCTGATGCCATGACACCAAATCTCCTGCAGCTTTTTTTTTTTTTTTTAGCTCGGGTCCCAACATGTTTCTTTAGACAAAAGATTTTGGGGAGGAATCTATATTGGACTGTGTGTTTTCCCTTCTACCTGTACAGAAACCTACTCCAACCAATACTGCACACATTAGTCACACCAAAACATTTGTTATTTACTGCAAGGGAAAGTATGAATAAATGAAAAGGACAAAATCTGGGTTCCACAGGTTCTCTATGCCCTACCACAATTATTCTTATACAGGATTTATATAGTGCTTACAGTTTGCCAAGTGTTTCACAAGATGAAGGGAGACAGTACTGGTACAATATAGTTCAAGACAAAGGGGTTGGTGGTGGCCTGCTTCTGAGAGCTTCCAATCTAAAAGAGAGGGCAAGTGATACAAAGGTAATAACCGTTGTACTCCTTCTATGTATACTGTTCAACACTTCTTTCCCACTAACATGGTAAAAGTACTCGCCCATCTGATGGTGAATTAAAAAAAAAAAGTGTTCTGAAGTTCTGCCCTAAAAGGTAAAGGAGCTTCTTTTGACATAGTCCATTCAAGTCGCACAAAAACCTGTAAAAAAGCATGAATGGGGCCTAACAGAAATCCGTAATAAGACCACTATAAGAATTTGGAGTATATAAAGAACACCCCTGAGCAATGTCACTTTACAACAGAACTACACTACATCTGACCACTACAAATTAATTAATTAATTTTTAATCTTCAATGCAAAATCCCCCATCCATCCATATCCCCATGCTTTATTTTGTTGAGAAATTACACCCCCTAGCATTTCTGGTTGTGGCCATCTTGAATAAGGGCAGATAATTTATGTAGCATTTGCTTCCTGGAATTCCCCTGTCCTTTTCCCAGGCATCCAGGCAGGAGGGAGTGCTTAGCTGAGAAAGCCTCTCCTCATGAAGACTCCTGGGATTTATGGCATCATTTGCCTAGGCCTGGGAACCAGGAAGTAACTGATCAAAATGTAGAAAACCAGTTTCAAAAAAGTTAACATGAAATACTTTCCTATCTGTTTATTAATGCTAGCAGCATAAGGATTAAAAATAGCCCATGTTGATTGAGAGAGTGAAGTTCCACTTTAAAATCTATTAGTAGCTGACCTGTGATTTGTTGCACAATTTTATTACCTAATGTTCCATGTGTTGGTATGTTTGATGGTTTAGTAATCAGAGCAAGTGCAGAGTATTGCTAAGTGACTGCTTGCTGATGTGGTCTTGTGTCCTTACATGTTAGAACTTGTCTGACAAGGACACAGCCCAACGACAGGAATTAAGCTGCTCAGTAACATGGCATTTTACCTCAATAGCCCATCGTGGTCTCATTCTTTGATTCACCTTACACCGCGTGGAATTATTACCGTGAAAATCCCGGTCCACACATTGTAAATAATACATTTTGCTGTTGACTGATACAATAATATAACATTGGGTTTTGTGACTCTGCATTTCTTATACTCCAACTGAACTTTTGGTTTAAGGGAGAAGTGTGGGAATAGAAAAGCTGACTCAAAGCCTGACAACTGAGGGGCCACTGCTGATCAGTTAGTACTCGGTCAACTCTGAACAGTGACAGTACAGGCACAGCCCCACTGCATGGGAAAGAATTTTTTTTCTTTGCCCATAGATGTGCAATTAAGCTTTAAAGCCTAACTCTTTGTCATTAATTTTATTCTAAAATAGTCCCAAAATACAGTAAGTCTGACAAAAAAAAACATTGATTTCATATATTAATGCTTTTACAGTGAACGGCTCTTCTCTCTCCATGAAAATGCATAGAGGTGGGAGGGGACCAGTCATAGTCCATTGCTTTTCCTGCTTTTTTTTTTTTTTTTTTTTTTTTCAGGTGTTGTGTGTGTGTGTAGTGACAGTTGGGTCATCGTGTAAGTGTTTTCATCTAACAGGATTGTACATAAGATAGAAATGCATTATAAAGGTTGAGAAGACGTAACAAATGGTTCATTTTAAAATTTGCTATAGTGTTTATTTTAACTGGTGTATTTTCCTTTTTTTTTTTTTTCTCCTAGGGAAGGAGACAGAAAACCTCATACTATGGTTAGTGGCTCTGGCCACAAAGATTTCAATGGATTCCTCTGCTGATAAAGACTTTCTGTCACACGGGTTCAGTTGTCAGCCATTATACACTACAGGACATTATTCTTTAAGAGCTGAACCTACAACTAAAACCTCCAATGAAAATGACGACCTTGAGCAGGATCAGTTGAGGACTTTTAATGACTCTTCATGGTCTTATTGTGACATTTCATCAGCCCAGTCAAAGGGCACTTACAATTCAAGTTCTAATTTTATCCAGAGTGCTGCTTCTGAAAAACATTCACAAAAGCCCCAAACCTTGCAAGAACAGTATTGGGCTTGTGCAATTCCTAACACTCCTCCACCTCGTCCTGACAGGGATTCTCCAAACTGGGACCCAAATAAAGAGTACCAGGACTTGCTAGATTATACATATCCATTGAATCCAAAGTACTTTTTGAATAAGGGTAATGAAGAAGCAGTAGCAGATGGGTTTTTGCAAGATTCTGGAATAGATATTGGTAGCTATAATCTGTCATGTGAAAGTAAGTTTGACTCTTTTGGCTCTTCATATCGAGAAGATTATAAACTAAAGACTGGTAGTTCTTCACATACAAACGGCCTGAAATCACCACATGCCTTTTCAACACCTCTGTGTAGAAGAACCGCTCATCGCAGTTTATGGAACCCCTCGGAGTCTTCTCATTTAACATCCTATGGGGACCTCTCGCCTTATACCAGCAAAGTAGACCTTGCTAAGGAGTCCACAGACTCTTTTTGTCTTCCTAAATATAATGTGTTTGATAAACTGTTGACAACAGACAGGTCTGCTAGAGAAAGTTTACAAAAGCCAGCTCCGTTTCTGGCAAGCACAAGTGTATTACCAAAACAGAAGGATCTGGATAGTGATGAGGAATATCTTTCCTTACCACCTTCCCTGAAAGAGTTGGACACTTTAGCTGCCCATCTGAAGGACCTTTCATTAGAAGTAGGTCAGGCCGGAAGCACAAATTGTGATCAAGCCAATTCTAGTAAACGGACATTGGATTTGTCCGGTATTGATGTAGATCAAGGATTATTGGATTCATTGAAGAGCAGAACCACAAGTGATGACTTCAAAGATCTAAGCTTTGTATGTCAATTGTCAACTTGCCAAAAACACAACTCTGAAATAAAAAGGTTTTCCTCTCTAAGGGACATGCTTGATGGTGGTAATTCATCACTTGTAGAACTGATTAGATGGCCATCAATGCCAAATATACAAGACAATAAATCCCTCGTCCAAAGGATTCAGGTATGCAACTATAATCATGCTTATTAATTTTTTTTTTTCTTTTCTTTATGTAGAATTCAGTCAAAATTGAAAAACCATTGATAATTTAAATAAACCCCATCATTCCTGCTGTAACTATTATCACAGCTTTTGAGTCTTATATTTTTCTAAAGCCTGGTACACACAGCTTTTTTTTTTTTTTTTTTTTTTTTTTCGTTCAATCCAGCGGGCTGAAATTTAAAAAAAAAAAAAAAAGACTTTCGCTATACTAACTATGTGATGTTAGTACAGCGATCTCCCCACTGAGATATTTTGCTCTGACAGGGGGTCCATCCCCTCCGACAGAACATACCGGTCAGCGTTTACAGCTATTGGCTGAAAGAACTGCTCAGATGCCAATTGGCTGCTGGTTTTAAAGCATGCCTGTTCGTCAGAAGCCAGACGTTAGGTAATCTTCTGTCAAACAGGCTGCTCTACGCACTGGCCGAATGTCTGCCAGTTTCTGCTGAACCAGCCGATGTGTACCAGCCTTTAGCTGTACTTGCTGCCACTTCTGTCTTTGAGCAGTCACCTACATACCTGTGTCTAGAGGTTAATAGTACACATCGTCTTCACTTCCATCTCAAGCTGCTCTCCATTCAGCCTTGTAAGACCACAAGCTCCCACTAAGGTTACTGGCTTTAAGTGCAAGCACACATGTCCAACTCATGGGGCAAATCTCTGTATTCTTTGGAATGCCTCCTGGATAAAGGAAGCCGTCATAAGAGTGTGGATATTTTACCACAAAGCGGTATGTATGGTGAAGCATCATTATGCAACCAGAAGCATGCAGGGCTTGTGAACTCGCAGTACATCTGACATAGTGAGGATGAGTACTACCATTGGTACACGTTTAACTTACAAGAGACAAGATGTATTAAAGTGTATGCAAACATAAGAACATAAATGTAATCTACTGCCAGATACCAGTCACTAGATGTGGTGACTGCAGTTTTTTTTCCCCTTCATTTTCACCTGTTTATCCTGCCAGTTGTAATACCTGTACATATATTACATATAGTTAATTGCATGTTTTTTTCGGTGAACTGCATACATGGATTGCTTCAGTAGTTGCCTGACAATAGATTGTAATTGATATTAACATGTCAGAAGACCTGGTACTTTCCCACATGAGGGTGTATATTATCACCAGAGTGTATATACTCCCAAACTCATTCTGATCTGTTGCACTTGGTCTAGAAATTCTGTCTTCAGTTGGACAAGTTGATACAATGGCTGTACAGTGTTGCGGAAGTAACAGACAACTGGACCGCCCCAAAGCCTAGCATGGAGAGCATACAGCTGTCACTCAACCTTTACTTGGTAAGGTTTTACTCTTTATCTTTTATATCTACATAAGACAAGTTGAGATCAAATGTTACGGAGAGATGAACTGCTTACGTTCACTGTTTTAGGGGCTAGATTGCTTTAACTGAATAGTGCATAACTGCAGCAGTTGTTGTAGACATAATTTACATTCTCAATAAAATATACAGGTGAAACTCAAAAAAATTAGAATATCGTGCAAAAGTTCAATTATTTCAGTAATGCAACTTAAAAGGTGAAACTAATATATGAGATACTCATTACATGCAAAGCAAGATAGTTCAAGCCGTGATTTGTCATAATTGTGATGATTATGGCTTACAGCTCATGAAAACCCCAAATCCACAATCTCAGAAAATTAGAATATTATGAAAAGGTGCAATATTCTCGGCTCAAAGTGTCCCACTCTAATCAGCTAATTAAGACATAACACCTGCAAAGGGTTCCTGAGCCTTTAAATGGTCTCTCAGTCTGGTTCAGTAGAAATCACAATCATGGGAAAGACTGCTGACCTGACAGTTGTGCAGAAAATCATCATTGACACCCTCCATAAGGAGGGAAAGCCTCAAAAGGTAATTGCAAAAGACGTTGGATGTTCCCAAAGTGCTGTATCAAATCACATTAATAGAAAGTTAGGTGGAAGGGAAAAGTGTGGAACAATAAGGTGCACAAACAGCAGGGATGACCGCAGCCTGGAGAGGATTGTCAGGAAAAGGCCATTCAAAAGTGTTGGGGACTTTCACAAGGAGTGGACTGAGGCTGGAGTCAGTGGATCAAGAGCCACCACACACAGACGGATCCTGGACATGGGCTTCAAATGTTGCATTCCTCTTGTCAAGCCGCTCCTGATCAACAAACAACGTCAGAAGCGTCTTACCTGGGCTAAAGAAAAACAGACCTGGTCTTTCTCAGTGGTCCAAAGTCCTCTTTTTTTGATGAGAGCAACTTTTGCATCTCATTTGAAACCAAGGACCCAGAGTATGGAGGAAGAATGGAGAGGCACACACTGCAAGATGCTTGAAGTCCAGTGTGAAGTTTCCACAGTCTGTTGATTTGAGGAGCCATGTCATCTGCTGGTGTTGGTCCACTGTGCTTCATTAAGTCCTGGGTCAACACAGCCGTCTACAAGGAGATTTTGGAGCACTTCATGCTTCCTTCCGCAGACAAGCTTTATGGGGATGCTGACTCTCAGAAAGATGTGAGACATGAGACCGAACAATGCAGAAGAGCTGAAGGCCGCTATTGAAGCATCCTGGTCTTCCATAACACCTCAGCAGTGCCACAGGCTGATAGCTTCCATGCCATGCCACACTGAGGCAATAATTGCTGCAAAAGGGGCCCAAACCAAGTACTGAGTACATATTCCTTCCTTTACTTTTCAGAGGTCCGATATTGTTCTATGTACAATCCTTGTTTTATTGATTGCATGTAATATTCTAATTTTCTGAGATTGTGGATTTGGGGTTTTCATGAGCTGTAAGCCATAATCATCACAATTAGTTCAAGCCATGATTTGTCAAATCTTGCTTTGCATGTAATGAGTCTATCTCATATATTAGTTTCACCTTTAAGTTGCATTACTGAAAAGTGAACTTTTGCACAATTTTCTAATTTTTTTCGAGTTTCACCTGTATAGTGAAAGATTCTAAACCTGCAGTATTTCCAGGTTCAAGGAAACCCTTTCTGGTCAGCTGTGAAATGTCAAAGGAAAGTGAAGCCTTTGCAAACAGAGAACAGTTTGGGGCCTCATTTTACCACTTGTCCTCTGGAAGATTTACCCTCAAACCCCCCCCCCCCCCCCCCCCGTTCCTTCTTGCCCAGGCCATTTTTTTTGTGATACAGCGCTGCATTACTTTAACTGAAAATTGGTCATGCAACTCTGTACATAAATTAAATGTTTCCTTCCCCCCACAAATAGACCTTTCTTTTGGTGGTATTTGATCACATCTGACGTTTTTTACTTTTTGCATTATAAACAAAAAAGACCGACAATTTGGGAGGAAAAAAACAATATTTTTTTACTATAAAACACGTCCAATAAAAAAAATTTAAAAATCAAATTTCTTCATACATTTTAGGCCAAAATGTATTCTGCTACAAATTGTTGGTAAAAAAATTCCAATAAGTGAATGTTGATTAGTTTGCACAAAAGTTATAGCATCTACAAACTATGGGACATATACTGGAATTTTTTTTTATTTAATTTTTTTATAGTAGTAATGGTGGTGATCAGCGTCTTATAGCGGGACTGCGACTATTGCGGTGGACATTTTTACATTAACTAGCACTTTGCGGGAACCCGTGACACTAATACAGTGATCAGTGCTAGAAATATACACTGATCACTGTACTAATGACACTGGGTTTTTTAAGGGAACATTTGGGCTAAATACAGGAATCTAACCTGTTAAGGATGCTGCCATTCTTGCAAAATTGTTGCTTAGTTTAAAAGAACGCAAATGAACCTATATCTTGCTGGTGTAAACATCTAGTCCCATCAGTCCACCATGTAATAGAGATGAACAAAGGCAGACGTGTTTGAAGTCCTGTCTGTGTATGAACTGTTTGCCTTTATAGATACAGTGGAGAAATGATTGTAGACATGAAGGGATAGAAAGTGGTGTTATCTGCAGAATCAGCAGGCGAAAATAAGTGGGGAAAAGCCTGAAAAAAACAGAAAAAATGCAGACACCTTGTGCATGGACTGGTAATCTGCAAGGTATTTTAATTTTTGGTTTAGATATGCTTTGGCTCTTGGGGCTAGTTCACACCAGAACTTGTTGCAGGAAGCCTGTGTTCAAAATGCCAAACATCTTGCAAACTCAGTGTGTTTTCCTGCACCAAAAGTACCATGAAATCCGGTTTCTCTGCATTTTGTAAAGTACTGCATGCTCTACTTTTGCTGAGATCTGGTGTGATTTCAGCCCATTCACATAGCACATGGATTGTATGTGAATTTCTGTTTGATTCCTGGTGTGAACCATCTCTCAAGCATGTAGATTAAAGTACGCTCCTTACATGTTCTTGAACAGTGTTTCTCAACCTTTTTTCAGTCAAGGCACTCTTTAAAATTATGGGCAGTCTTGAGGCACCCCATTCTAAAATGTGAAAAACTATTCTAATAGTTTTATATAATGCAGCAACACCTACACATTTAGGACCCCCAACATTAGAGGGGATTTATTCTTCCAAAGCAAATACTTTTTCTCACTGGTACTGAGTAGTATTCTAATGTTTCTCTTCTCCCTCAGTTTTTCTCCATCACTGAGTTAATGTGACCCCAGCACTGATGGAGAGGGACAGGGGAGGGTCAAACTGGGGGGCTGTGCAGAGAACTGACATCCACCTTATCAACTGATGATGTCATTGGTTGTCAGGATGTCGGCAGATAGAAGGTCGTAATGGTGCACAATGAAAACCTGTGGCTTTGTGTAACTAAAAGGCAGGCTTGTTCCACCTGCTGGCTTGTATACACGTTTTTGGCAATTTTTAGACATTTTGCCAAGGCACCCCTGAATAAAACCTCAAGGTACCCCAGGGTGCCTGGGCACCCTGGTTGAGAAAGACTGCTCTTGAAGATGTACAGAAGCCTTTACTAAAATGGCTGTGTTTATGTTGTCAATAATATAAACCTTTTAGAGCAAAACGGCACAACAGATTGGGTATCACTGTGTATGAATGCAGTGAGCAGAACATCTGCAACATGTCTTCAGGTCATTCAAAGAGCGAGTTTTTTTGTCTGTTGGAAGATGTGCAGATTTGTAAGATTTCCCTACTGTATGCGTAATGTTTTTACAAAGCTCACATGTCCATTGTAGAAATTGAAGAAGGATGTTGTGGAGCAGAGAACACTGGCTAATGCAATTCAGAAGGAAGGAGAGTCCCTGGTGAAATGTTTGGCAGTTAATTCCTCTGGTAAGGTTTGTTTGGATTTTGGTAAAACCTTGTAGGCTTCATGCACACTAGCATTTTTGTTAAGCTCCTAGAAGCTATTATTCACATATTTTTGTCTGTTCCTGGAATCTAAATAGTTCTTCTATGTATCCATGCACACTACTTTAGGCTATTAGCATTTTTGTGAGCTTCAGCATGTAGAAGAAAAATTTTTTTTAAGAGTTTTTTTTTTTTTTGGAGCTCTTTTTCAGCAGCAGAAAAAAAAGCAAAATGCTCCTAACAGTGGCCCCCCCCCCCCCCCCCCCCACATGTACTGTAAAACTGCTAATAATTCTGGATGCTACTAAAAAGCTACTAGAACCGCTATTACCAGCCAGCATTTTCATGTGTTCCTTAGCTTAAAAAACAGCTTGTGTGCATGGAGCCTAAAGGCTTGTTCACACGGTTGCAGCAAATGTTTCAAGTATAACTAAAGGCAAAACTTTTAGTGCTAAGGTAGGGTTGAGATGTATTAGAACACCTTTTAGGTTTTTTATTGCTGCACATTCTCTATTTGTCCTTACCATTATCCTTGAAAGTGAAAATAAAAGAAGATCCCAAAACAGTAATAGTTGGGAAATCTTCCAATGGGGACACTAGTTCTGGTGACCTAGGGGCCCCAAGAGATTCCCATTATTTGCTGCCATTTCTTTCTGTTTTTGCTATGGGACAAGAAGTGAAGGTAAATCTCCCCAATGTGAGACAGATGGCAAAAAAACAAATTTATAGAGGTTGTAACCCTCCCATACTCTATCCAAAATGGGGGGGTTTGCCTATAGTTCTGCTTTAAGGGCCCGTTCACACCAGGCCTTATAAGTAACGCACTGTACATGTGGTGTTTTGCTGCAGTGCTATTAACTTTAAATGCACCTCAGCAATGCATGTTCACTGCAAAAATACCCAACAAGCCCTAAGATTTGGTGAGTTGCAGCTCTTTCATATTGAAAAGGCTGCCTAATGCAGTGGGACTCTACCCAGGAAAACGTGCCAGCCATTAGGATTTTTTTCTTGTAGTTTTTTACCAGATTTACATGCAAGCCAAGCTGAGCAGCAAAAAAATGACAGGTTAAGGGGTGCTTGAGAGCAGCTTATCAGACTACAATATTGGTGGTCCTTTAGAGAACCTTGCTGTAGTAAAAGGATATTGTTTTAATGTAAGATGGTTCTAGCTGAGAAATCCAGGACCTGACACCAGAATCTAGTGTTCTACCCTCTTAGCTACGTAACTGAGAGCACTGTGCTTACCTGGAGAAGAACAAAGGAAGATCCTACTGCAGCTTGGAATGTCAGGTTTTTCCTGGCTCACCTATCTTTATCTGTGACTAGCTGTTAAGTATCCACATACAGGTCCTAAATATTTTAACTCTTCCATATGTGACTGACAATTAGGCCGCTTTCACACAGGGTGGACTCCGCCTGTGATCTGCTTGCTCAGCAGGGGACCTGTTTGCTGATCCCCTCTGAGCAGGAGAATGACAGATCCGTGTTCCCTCCAGCTTATTATTATTATTACATCGCGTTTATATAGCGCCAAAGGGTTTGCTCAGCGCTGTACAATAGAGGGGGGGGGAAATACATGAAACATTACAGCAACTACAAACAGCACACGAGGGGTTAGAGGGCCCTACTCTTTCGAGCTTACAATCTAGAAATGCAGAGTGGACACTGCCCGCTCTCCTCTATGGACAGGTACATGTAAACGGACCATGTGTCTGTTTATACCAGACTGCCATCTGATCCAGTCCACTGGATGAAAGAGGAACAGATCCCCATCTGTCTGTTTTTATTGGGTTAGATGTAGGTGAGTGTAAATGGAAACATGTCCATTTACACCCGCCCCTCCATAGAGGAGAATGGATGTTCCCATCAGATCTGCCTGTCCATCGATGTCCTTTTTAGTCTCCATTTGTGTATCTGGCCAGACTCCATGCAAGTAGTACTTTGCTCTTCCATTTAAATGCAGCTTCGACAGTAAGTGTTCATATATATTTAAGATGTAGTCAGCTACATTTAGCAATACAGTGCCAGTACAGTAGCCATGTCATGAACAAAGGTAGTAATGATGCTGACCACACCGGAGCTATGACATACCAATCAGCTACCTCCATTATATATACACAGTAGATGCTTCTAATCACAGGCTCCAGGGTGACTACAAAAGAATTCAAGTCATTTTGTTTTCTGCAGAACTTGACGTATAAAGCAGTGAATTGTTAGTCATTGGAGAGTTAATGCTTAGCAGATCTGACTTGTAGGACATGAGGTCAGGGACTCTGTCAGTAAACATTCACAAACCGACACATGAATTATGAGTGGAGTCGTGTTCTTGTTCCTGGAGATGCTACACTGACCTTTTCTGTAACCTCTCATCAGTTCTGAAGGACACCCTGGCATTAATTTCCAAACAATCTGGAGAACTTGAAAAACACACTGAGCGCCTGTATGCATCTGTTCTTGAAGCTATGGATACCGTCACTGATAAAGGCTTGGGGAGGAACAGTAACCCAAAACAACCAGTTTCCCTGGAGATGGAGTCAAGTTAGGTAAGAAAGACAGCAGAAGCAGTGAAGGAATGTCATCTGACGTGACACGATAGTGTGGAAACCTGAGTAGCACTACTTGTACTCATTGACCGTGCAGGGCTAGCTATGAACACGTGGGTGGCTTTTAGTCCACTATGGAGCAAATATTAACATATTTTGATTAACAAACATACTATGCTATTCTTTTGCATTTGATAATTTGTTGCTAAACAAAAATGCACCTAAATGATAAAAGCCAACTCCACACGCATACAGAAAAAAAAGGTTTGAAGAAAATGGGAGTAAGAATTTGTTATGTTTTTTTATTCCTGTTTTGTGAGTTTTCCCTCCCTTCCAGTCTCTGAGGTACCCATACAAGAAGTGGCAATACTAGGACAAGGAAAACATGGACTGCAATAAAAACTTTGTCAAGTTCTTACCCTTCACTGTACTAAAAATTTGTTTTGGTCCATGTCCAAAAGGAAGTGAGGAGAAATCACCCCAGTAATGACATAGATAGCAGTAAAGCAAGAGATTGTAACCCTTCCCCAATGTTTCAAACATAAATACTATGAGTTGGAATTGTGCTTTAAAAAAAAAATCAGACATAAATACACTTTAGTATTTTTACATCTAAAACCAAAATGTATACATTTTCAATTTTTTTTTTGTGATTTCCAAACAATGAACTTACTATTACTTACAGTGGGATTCTGTCCAGCCAGTTTTCAGTCTCTAGGCACTTAGAAATGCTCAATTGGCTGAGGGATTGATTTCCTAAACAGTGTATCGGTATGTTGTTAAAGGATAAGTTCACCTTTGATAACATGCTACTTGTTACACACGTATTATAAAATGTTTTCCAAAGAGAACCTGCTTGCACCCCTGTGGTATCCTCCTGTACCAGTGGGTGGGGTATCCTCTCCCCACTCCTGCTGTAACAATTTGAAAAAGAGTGGCTGGGCAGGGCTCTGCCTTTCATGCAGAGTTCTGTGATTGAATGAACTACAGCTACAGTCTGTATTGCATGAGCTGGCTTTTAGTTCTCAAGGAACTAACAGGGCACTGGTGAGGCTCTTGCAGTTCATTGATCTTCTCGCTCTCCAGTAACTGCTGGTGTGGACAGACAGCTATACTGAGATTCTGCAGCAGCCTGGCATTGCACCTGCAATCTATTTGCAAAAATATGTTCATTTAGTTATTTTTAAAGGTGAACGATTTATCTTTATCCTGGTATTCCACAGTCCGTTATCTATGTCTTTCAAACCCCTAAGACTGCCCATTAGCTCCTGGCAGCATTAGGACTTGTAATAGGGAAATAGAAGCAATGCAATGTTCCATCCCACGTTCACTGCTTATAAATGGTCCATCTCTTGGATCTATAATTTTATTTTTCTGTTTCAAAGCCTAGAATGTACCTTTTTGTTGGGATTACAGATCCTAGTAAGCATCAGGCAGGAGGTGGGGGAGTATTAGTAGCAGAACACTTTTTTTTTTTTTGCATCGGGGGAGAAAATGGAAGTGTGGTGCGGCAGGTAAAAGCAAACATTCATACTGCCGATGGGTATACAGCCAGGCTCTGAGAAAGTAAGGGGGGGGGGGTGATAAGAGACCAGTCTGATTACACCAATCCAACTTTGAAATCGTGGGACTTCACTAGAATTCACATTATGCCAGAGTCGGCTCTCAGTCCGACTTCAGATGTGACTTGCAAGACATCTGTGACTTGGAGGATGCAAATGGCACCTGAACTTACAAAAAGTAATGCATTCACTTTTTTTTTTTCAAAATTGGTGCAACTGACAAAAGCAGAATCAAACTAATATGACTGCTTCAATTGTGAACAATAAGGTCCGATTTGAAGCTATCAAATCACATGACAAGTCACAGCAGTATGACTGGGTACTTAGAACTGCCTCCACAGCCAAAGGACACACTCTGCTTCACTAAGGCAGTCAAGGATTCTTGGTCAGATGATGTTTCATGAAGGTCTAGACTGGTATCTTACTGAAAGGATACCTAAAAACAAAAATGTCATCTGCTTCACCTTACCATGCTTTGGACGTGGTGTCTTCATTTTTCAGCAAGTACAGAAACCAACTTGCTCTTGCAGAAATGCAGCCTTTAATGTGACCTGAAAACAACCTCACCTTCCTCCTTCTGTAAACTACTAATATCCTCACTCCATGTAATGCAGAGGAACAGAAGACATATTTGAAGTTCATCTGTGGTGGCATCCAAGGTTTCCACAATAGATTCAATGGGAGAGTGAATGTGTGTTGTCACCTTAGTACAAAAAATGTTATTTTGTGGGATTACCAGTTGGTCAGCTACAGGATGTCCCATTTTTGCTTTGGGGGTGTGGAAGCACTTGACCTTTTCAGCATCAGGATGTGTGCTGTGAGAGCCAACCCAGGTGTTGCTGAAGGTCAGCAAAGGCTGTGTGATGTATGGGGGCCTAAACAATCTTATGGTAGTCCTGATAAGAATGACTACAGCCTGTCTCATTCCTAAATCATGCAAAGTGTTACTAAATCCACAACAGTGAAATCAGTCCGTATATGCAGTAAAGCATGCTTGATATACTCACTGTGGAACCTAAGGGGCTATTCTTCTGCACTGTGCAAAAAGGCAGTTTGATCCTTTCTTCTTTGCCCCTCATCTTGTTGAAATGACCACCTGATACAGACTGAACCTGTGGTCACATGCTCAGTTTGGTGTGTATTGCTAGAGGCGGGTTTTTTTTTTTTCCTTAGGAGGGTGCATATGTTCAGCACAGGGCCAATCAGCACTGTCTAGACAGAGGGTCTGGGGTTCACATCCTCTTAGAGCAGGAAAAAAAAAAAAAACCTCCTACAAGCTTTAACCAGTGCTCTGCTGGAGTCACAAAACTGCTCTAAATGCTACTGCGAAAAGGTATTTAGCAGTTTATATTTACTAAAATAATTGCATGTCCATGTTGTGTGTACTGTGGGAGACCAGATATAGACCAGATGTGAATGCAGGGTCCGGGGGTTTAGTTAACACTTTAAGAAGTTAAAATTACCTGGACTAAGCGGTTACAGGTAGTCTCACATTTGAAGGAGGGGATATTCATAACATTCCGCCACATTCTTCTCTTCATTCAGCTAGATATTAGGAATGGTTTGCATTTGAAAAAATTCAATTCTCCTAAAGCCTTGAGGCCTACTCTCACACAGGTTGCAGGCATTGCTTATTTCATAGTAAAACTTCTTTACCTTTTTAAAATGAGAAACTTTCCGGAAAAACACGTAAGTTGCTGATGCTGGAAGCCTATTTGCTTTTATTTTACGGTTTCCCAGATTTGTACCTTGGGGAAGGGGTGTCATGCTCTTGGCTTAGGTGGTGAGTGTTTTCACATCACAGATCAGAACCATTTACCACCAGGACCAGCGTTCATTATGCAGGCTCCAGAATGGACCTTGGCTATCTGGTGGATACATGAGCAGTGCCAAAGATATTCAGAATCATGCCAGTATTAAAGGTGGTATATGGACGCTGCAAAGGTTGTGATAGCTCTACCCCAACAATTAAAATGATTTTGTGTAAAGAAAGCCCTTATTCTACATCTGCACATTATACACAGCTACTCTCAAGTTTATCACTTTTAGGTTTTTCCATGGAAGCCAAAATGACAGAGGCTCTTCATGTGTTTGATATCTTTTAACATTAAATTATATGGAACTACCAAATATACCAGTTTTGATACTTTTATTATATGACAGCTTGTATACATAGATGGAACAATACAAGTAACAGTAGGATAAGATTTTACAAGCACATTCAATTTCAGAGGAGTCCTTAATTCAAATGCTTACAGTCTAAAGAATGTGGAGGATGCACAGTTATGGCAGAACACAGTGGTAGTGCATGAGACTATGCACACATGGGGACTAGACAAAACTCAAAAAGCCAACATGAGGCTCTCCAAATGGAATTCCGTACTCATGCAGATTGCTTTGCTGGTAAGAAACAGTCCTGCCACACTGCCAGAAAATGATGGTTTTCCAATACAATTTATATTAAATTACAGACAGCAAAATTGGAAAACATAGCCTAAAACTAGCTGATAAAAAGACAGACAAGTGTTATTCTAACTACATGGTGGTTTGTTTTTTTACACTGTTCCCCATTAGCTGTAATACCCAAATACTAGTTAAAGAAAAACATGGAATTCTGGGGGTAACATTACTTGTGTTCTGTTCCCACCTTCCACGCTTTATACTAGAATGAAAAAAAAAAAAAATTAAATATCCATTAATATACTAATATAACTTTTTTAATAATCAAAATCTTAACCACCTTTGTGTTTCAGATAATGCACACTGGAGGATGGATTTGACACAATGTGGAAGCTTGGTTTCTGATATTGGAATGGTTTAATTCCGTCTTAAAGTGCACTCACTCTGACAAGCATTGTTAACACTGTGCCACAGCTAGGTACAGCAAAGAAACAATCCGTCCAATGCTGAAGGATAACTGTTCATATCGGAATCTATATGAATGCAGTCTTACAATACTCCCTCCAATGTTGTCTTGATGGTGATCACTTCAGAGCAGCACAGGTGGAATTGTTTTAAAACTGAACTACACAGTCATTAACATGGTTATAAATAGAAAACATCACCCCTGCACTGAATGTCTGGATTAAGAAAGGGATAAGAGTTACACGCCATATAGTCAGGCTTTAATTGCTACTTCAAACAAGGCAACCCCTGACCGTTAACCCCCCCCAAAATCCCCATTGTGACAGCTAGCAGGGGATCTTCTCCCCTCCTCCTGGCTGTCACAATTTATAAATGAAACAATAGTCAGCATTCCGTGAAGAAAAACACTACAAGCTCTAACAGCCTTTGCGGCTGTTGGCGTGTAGTTCTCAGTGTACTACCACGGCGCTGTCTGTCAGTATCTGCTTTCCCATAGGAGGAGTACAGGCACACAGATAAATAGACACGTCTCCAGGAGACCTGCATGGCAACAGTGAAAATGTTCTGGATTATGAGAGGTTAAGTTCAATAAGGTGCATGCTACCTCCTGGACTTAGCTCTTATTTACAACTGGCATTTTTATGGAGCACAGCTTTTGCTATACTTCTGGCACAGGACATTCTAGCCACATTTCCAGCAGCCCAATAATAGAGCACTTTGTGAATGGGTTTCACATAGCACAAACTACAAAGGCTCCTGTGAATGGGGCAGGCAGAAATGCTGTGTGTGAGAAGACAGCAGCTCTCCTGTGCGCCATAAAATGGTCAGATGTAAATTAAAGATATATGTCCATAAGGTGGCATGCGTCTCATTGAACTTATTAACTCATAGGATGCCTGGACATTTTGCAGAATTCCTGGTGTTCAGCTAAAAATGAAATAAATACCAATTTGCAAGCAAGTATAAAAATGGCTGATGTAGTGAATTTCCTCCCTCCACATTCCACCTGTACTGCTGTGAGGAGATGAGTATCCATTGTAAGACCTAAACATGTCTCTAAATTCCAGTTATATAAATATTTCAGTGACTTTATGAATGTTTTAAACTACCTTGCCGATTTTTTATCCATTTGTATCTAAAGTGTCTTTTTATGGAAACTATAAAGAAATATTCTTGACTAGCTTGTGTTATTGGTGCTTACACATCAAGTGAGAAGGAATGTACAGAGCTGGTAAGAAGATAAAAATTGTGACTGCACTGCGATCTTGGCACACCATTACCACCTTCTGTAGGTTCTTAATACCGAAAGGCTACATTCAGCAAGACCAGTAAAGGTTTAACATGGAGACTGCAATCCTGGTAAAGTGCTGGACAGCACGCTCAGCTTTTAAATTGATGCAGAAATACACAAAAGAGGAAATGCTTCAGTCTGGTCTTATGCTTTATAAGAATAACTTGGCATGAACAAATGTGAAGATAAAATGAAATGTGAACACATGCCCTATGTATTAAGGGCTGTAGTGATGTTGTACACATTTGTGTTACCATGAACTAGAAGTAAGCCACATGAGCAGACCCTTAACAGGTAAAGTATTCCAGTCAAGGATAAATGCACCAAGTACTCCTATTAGTACCCCAAGGGAACAGCTCTGGAATGTCAGTACAGACAAGCGATACCTATACATATCTTTAGATGCCCTCACTCAGAGCCACGCGTGATGGCTGCTGTCATCTACAAATTCCACACTTAGCAGTAGTGTTATGGATCCAGCCCCTCAAAGTACCTGCAAGTTCCTATTGTCCTCGTGTAACAGGCAGCCTTACTGGCCAAAAGAGTATGGGGGTCAGGAACAGCAACTGACACTACCAGAAGTATTTAGCAGATCACAGCATCCCAAGACACAGGGCTAGCAGACTGTAGAGTTTAGTTCCTAATGGATGATCAGGAACTGACCAGTACCCATCGAGTACCCTTAGGGCACTGACAAGAGGAGGAATTCAGGCATTGGAGTAACTAAGAGCAATCCATCAGAAATGTTCTCCTTGGTGTGACTAGAATAAACTGATGAAAATCGCTCAGTGTTACTGCACACCACTACGGTATTTAATACAACTCACAGAGCCCCCCCCCCCCCCCCCATAAGCCTACAGCTTATGACCAAGTCTGACTACTACACATTCAGTGTTAAGGAGTTTTATTATTATTAATAAGACACACACAGGCTTCCAAATTTCAACCTGTATAGGTAGCATAAGTTAGCAGACTTATAAGCCATCCACAGACGTTAATTGCTATATACAATCAACAGGACTTCATCTTTCAAACCACTGTTAAATATAAGTCATGTATTTTCTTTTCTGCAGTTTTTCATGTGCGAGCTTTCCGTTTTTTATAGCTTGTATTGTTTACACTTCTTACATTTGCCGTTCGAGCCTAGGACTTAAGTGACATGTCATTGGGGAGGAGCTTACAGTGAAACAATGAATAAAGTGGACCTGTCCCATGCACACAAAGCTGCCATCTTGTGGGTAAATATTGGATGTCCTCCATGTACACAAAAACAGGTGCACTTTGTGGGAAATGGAACCGAGTATATAAAGTTAATGGCAAAATCACATCACCGTCACACTTGCACTGCTGTACACCTCTGCAGAATCTAAAAACCGGAAGGAGAGAACTAAGGAAAATGTATTCCTGATTACAATAGGGCAAACACTGCACATTCAAACCAAGACATTTCTCTCACTTGAACAATTCTCTATGTCACCTACTCATTCAGCATTACTAAACAGACAAGTGAAGCAATATAGTGGTTGCAGTTGATTGGGTTAGTTAAGCACTTGTTAGTTTGGTAGAAGAGTACCCATACATAAACTCTCATTACATGCAGGGCAGTGTTGGTCAAGAAAAAAAAAAATAAAATGCCTTCATTTTTCCCCATTTCTAGACAAATTAAGACAATACTTATCACCATACGGTTTGATATTACTTCCAATACGTACAATATTTATTAAACATTTCTTCAGTTATTTGTTACATGTTGTGCAACAAATCACAATGTTCTGCAGCCACAAATTATATGCAGAGTATGAAGAAACTAGTCTCGCTTCTGTTGCTGAAGGGGCCTGCGGCACGTTGAGGCACATGCCGCAGGCTCTTCCAGCAACCAATGAGGCCAATCAGATAAGTGTAATCTTTCCATTTATAACTCTACAAGAAAAGAACTAGCAAAATCAGATCTTACATATAACATCTCACTAAACTTTATTGATGCATGGAAACCGACAGACACTGTTGTGCTGTTTGATACAAAATGGCTGAACTTCATCTTCAGAAGACTAAACCTGACTCCTAAACATGCCAATTGAAACATAAAAAAAAAAGTGGGAGGGGGAAGGGGGTCATTTAACCAACCACAAGGTAGGGGGGCTTCTGGTATTAGTAAAGCAACAAGGGTTACACACAGTATTGAGAAACCAGCACACATGAGGGAGGGGGAAAAAGGTTTAAAACAGTTCTGAAAATGAAGTTAGCTGTCTTGAGTCAAGGGCATAAAAAAAGTCAGTATTGAGCGTTTACAATCGCTGACCTTTGGGGAGACGGTAAGATTCTGTTGTAGTGCGGCTACATACAGTACAATTCAGGCAATTTTTGTTTTGTCACTTAGGTTCAGATTGAGATTTCACTGCTGTGAGGAGGGAATGGGGCGATTTAGGGGGCAGGCTGTTTTAGCAGCAACCTCCGCTGGACTGCTTGACTGGAGTGCTCTGGATTTTGACGTTGGACTTCTCTGCGCCGCCAGCTGTAGCTCCAGGACCCATTCGCTTTTTGATCTCGGCAGCCATTGTCATAAAGGCCTGCTCTACGTTCGTCGCGTTCTTTGCACTTGTTTCCAAGAATGGAATTCCCAGAGAGTCTGCAAATTCCTGCAAAAAAGCAGATGGAAAGTGTCAACTCTTGTACATGCAAACATTTACAAACAATGCAAAAGCTATGAACACCGGAGTTGAGCAGGTTAAAATTCTGGCCAATGCTAGATCATTATTACACAGGATTGATATTCTGAAGCACTTTACAATATAAAAGGGGGAAGTACACTTACAATACAGTTCAAGCAAAGAAGATGCTCATGAGAGCTTACAATTTAAAACAGAGAGCAAACTAAAAGGTATTACATGTGGAAGGGAGGGGTTGGGGGGGGGGGATTAGTTGATGGAGAAAGTAACATTCAGAGTTACTACATAGAGGAAGGAAATGCTTCCCTGAAAAGATACCGTGTGTATAGAGAAAGGAATCACCCCTTTAAAATAATCACTTTTTGTTTTATCCAGCTGTATTTACTCAGTGCAACTTATAACATCCAAGTGACTGGAGTTTGCATGTTCTCCCCGTGCCCGCATGGGTTTCCTTAGAGTACTCTGGTTTCCTCCCACACTCCAAAGACATGCTGGTAGGTTATTATTATTATTATTACTACGAGTTTATATAGCGCCAAAGGGTTTGCTCAGCGCTGTACAATAGGGGGGACAATACATGGCACAGTACAACAACAACAAACAACGTACGAGGGGTTTAATTGGCTCCTGTCTAAATTGGCCCGTGTATGTGTATGTATGAATGTAAGTTAGGGACTTTAGACTGTACCCACCTTGAGGGTTAGGGACTGATGTGAATGTACAATATATATGTAAAGCGCTGCGTAAAATTGACGGCGCTATATAAGTACCTGAAATAATAATGTCAGAAAAAAACAATTACAGAGTTGGAAAAAGGATCACCCCTTTCTAAAAATGACTTGTAAACTCAGTCAGGTGTAGCTAATAACCTTCTCAGTGGCACACAAAGCCATTTGACTTTCATCTGTAATCATCTGTGGTCATTTTGATTAGCTCAGCATGAAAAGAGCTTTCCTGGAGCATTTCATCCCTGGTAGTGCACCTGAAGCAAACCAACTATGGGTGGCAAGGCACTGTCAAAAGATCTCCGGGATAAAGTTGCAGACGTAGAAGTCAGGAGATGGATACAAAAACATTTCAAAGGCTTTATCAATGCCTGGAAGCACAGTCAAGTCTTATTAAGTGGAAGGTATTTGGTACAACACAGACCCCTCCCTGGATCCGGATGTGGCTCCAAACTGGATGAAGAAGCCAGGAGGAAACTAGCCAGAGAGGCTACCAAAAGGCCTACAGCCACTCTAAAGCAGTTGCAGGAATTTATGGCAAAGAGGGGTCATTGTGTGCACGTGACAACAGTATCACAAATAATCTACAAATGTGGCTTTTATAGGAGGCTTGCAAGGGGAAAAAACAAACACTTTTTAAGAAAGGCCCCATGCAGTCACGACTGAGCTTTGCCAAAACACACCTTGAAGATTCTCAGGCCACATTGCCACAGGTGGTTCAAAAGTGATTGTTTGTTTGGATTTTTTTCTGACATGTTGGTGTTCTAGCTTTCTCTTGGATGTTATTTATAAGTTGCACTGAGTAAATACAGCTGGATAGAACAAAAACTGTGTCTTCATTTCTGGCTGCAAAGCAACGAAATGTGATTTTAAAGGGGGGGGGGGTGATTCTTTTCCATACCCACTTAACATTTTCCAGGGTCACCTCAAGGCGTTCAGAATAGGAGACAGTGATATAGGTACAGTTCCAGAGGATGAAGTAGTCTTGGAGGTGAGCAAAGGGAGGTGGTGATGAGGGAGCTAGAGAATCTGAGGTCTTTGGAGAAGCAAAAAGAACAGCTGGGTAATATTCTGAGACAAGGTTGGTGATGTAGATAGTGGCAGAGTAGTGCATGGCTTTGCAAGTTGCTGGTATTTTGACTTTTATTCACTAGGTGAACAGAAGCCAGTAGAAGGATTGATAGAGAAGGGTGGCAGAAACTGAAAGGCTGGTAAGGTGGGAGAGTCTGGTAGCAGCATTCTCGATACATATAAAGAGCATGTGAAGAGGTAGGTCAATGAGGAGGGACCTGCAATAGTCGAGCTGAAGATAATTAGTAGTTTGGAGAGGATGCTGGTTAAGATGGGGCATATTGTGAAAAAGTTATGGCGGTGAAGGTTGTAAGATCTGGACAGCCATTGGATGTGAGGCTGAAAGGAGAGGTCAGAGCCCAGGAATACACAGAGCATTCTGTCATGAGGGGAAGGCCCGAGTTGTGCTATTGATTTCAATGGAAGTCTGGCCATGGTGGGAGGAAGTATAGGTTTCAGAAAACTTTTGTTTTATGAAATGGCCTGAATCGTACAGTGAACTGCTCATCTCGCCAACACTCTGGGGAGGAAACATCCAAACCCAAGCTCCAGAAAGAGTGAGACAGCATAGAAGGAAGCTGGGAAACAAACAAGGGAGCCCTCACCATTGAAATCAAAGAAAAAAAAAAAAAAAAAAAAACAGTGGGCAATTAAACCCACCAGCATCCTCATATTTAACCCCTAACAGATAAACATACAAGTAGCTGTAGGAAATAGAAATCATTGTCTTGCCAAGAAACCGTTAACCTCTTCACTTACAGAGGTTCAATGTTATACAGCTCTCAGCATATTATTTCCCACAAGGAGCTTCAGAATATCAGGCTTGCTTAAAAGGACCCTCTGCTGGGGATGGAGCACATGTCCATGGCGAAATCCTCCCAACAACCAGTTCATCTCAGCAGGCCTGATCTTCAGTTCATATTCTCAGGAATGTCAAATCACTCAACCACCACCTTCTGTATGGACAAAGTAAGTCTTCTGAAGAAAATCTCTATAATCATCAGCCATGTCAGGCTGAGAAGCTCACTGTAGGGTCAAATTTAAGGACTGAAGGCAAAGTTTTCTTTGCTATGGAAACTTCTCCCACATAATGTACATATATAAAATGTCATTCACAGTTCTCCCATTACACAACTTGCATTTTTAATTTGCTATTCCTAGAACAGTTATACACTTGACTACAAGGTACCCATAAATATTTGGCATTAGCAGTAGAGGGTGCAGTGATAAAACAAAAACATTAAAGAACTTACTATTCGCAAGTGTAACCCTTTCACTGTAGCTGACAGATATTGGATGCAGCAGACAGGAGTTTATCTTTTTATGCCCAGTTGTGGACTATATAATAGAAGAACTGCAGGAAAATGCCACCACCCAGCCATGTATCCCTGCATGCCTAGGACTTCCATGGCATGCAGTTCTGTGCGGAACAATTTCAGTCGGTTTATTTTGAAAGGGCTGAATTTGCACCGAACAGTAGTGCATGTACTAATTTTGGAAAGGCACTGCAATTTCTGTACCATGGGATCTGATGCAGGTAAGCGCACTGTGATTGCGAACTGCATCTGGGGTGTTAATTTATTATTGGCACCTGCTGCAGATCACAACTGCAGTGTGCTTTGAATGTGGCATGGGAAACACGCAAGGAATGAAGATTTTCCGCACTGCGTTCTAATGTAAATGACTGACATACTCCGTATGCAAAATGAAAGGAACACTTTTTAATCAGAGTATAGCATCAAGTCAGTTAAACTCCTGGGATATTGATCTGATCAGTTAACTAGCAGAGGGGTGGTTAAATCAGTTTCAGCTGTTTTGGAGTTAATGAAGTTAACAACACGCGCACTAGATGGACAACAATGAGACGATCCCCAAAACAGGAACGGTTTTACAGGGGGAGGCCACAGACATGTTTTTTCCCTACTCATCTTTTCTGACTGTTTTTCACTAGTTTTGCATTTGGCTAGGGTCAGTGTCACTACTGTTAGCATAAGGCAATACCTGGACCCTACAGAGGTAGCACAGGCAGTCCAACTCCTCCAGGATGGTACATCAATACGTGCCGTTGCCAGAAGGTTTGCAGTCTCGAAAGCATGGAGGAGATTCCAGGAGACATGCAGTTACTCTAGGAGAGCTGGACAGGGCCATAGAAGCTCCTTAACCCATCAGCAGTATCTGCTCCTGCTCTGTGAAAGGGTCTGGAGAAGCCATGGAGAATGTTATGCTGCCTGTAACACCATTCAGCATGACCGTTTTGGTGGTGGGTCAGTGATGGTCTGGGGAGGCATATCCATGGAGGGACGCACAGACCTCTACAGGCTAGACAACGGCACCCTGACTGCCATGAGGTATTGGGATGAAATCCTTGGAACCATCGTCAGAACCTACGCTGGTGGAGTGGGTCCTGTGTTCCTCCTGGTGCAGGACAATGCCCGGCCTCATGTGGCAAGAGTATGCAGGCAGTTCCTGGAGGATGAAGGAATTGATACCACTGAATGGCCCCCACACTCGCCTGACCTAAATCCAATAGAATGCCTCTGGGATATTATGTTTTGGTCCATCCAATGCGCCAGGTTGCACCTCAGACTGTCCAGGAGCTCAGTGATACCCTGATCCAGATCTGGGAGGAAATACCCCAGGACACCATCCGTCGTCTCATTAGTACCATGCCCCAATGTTGTCAGGCATGCATACAAGCATGTGGGGGCCATACATACTACTGAGTACCATTTTGAGTTGCTGCAATGAAATGTCAGCAAAATGGACTCGCCTGCTGCATCATTTTTTTCACTTTGATTTTCGGGTGTCTTTGAATTCATTCCTCTGTAGGTTGGGGCATCCTTACGTTCCTAACACATTACCCAGTCCATATCAGTACAGATATCCAGCATACTTTTCCCTATTGAGGTATGATGTGGTTTCAAAGTGTTATAATTTGTTTTGAGTGGTGTATATAAAAATGTTTTGGTTTTTTGGGGTGGGGGATGTTTAAATAATCATTAGACCTAAAATGCGTATGCTATATCAAGTGTTCAAAGAGTGGCTCAGACAGTGACAGCATTAACTACAAGAAAAGCCATCACTAAGTGGTTACTTGGAGTTGTGGTACATTTTTAATCATGCAAGTCTTCTAAATGTTGCTGTACAGATAGTGCCTCTTACCTTTGCTGTTGTGTAGTCCACTACCTTCTTTGTAGTTAGATCACATTTGTTCCCTACCAACAACTTGTTAACATTTTCACTGGCATAACGGTCTATCTCCTGAAGCCACTGCTTTACATTGTTGAATGATTCCTTGGGGGTGAAAAAAAAAAAGAAAATCAACGCACATTTACCAATAGACTATTCACACAAATCAAAAGAAGGACTAATCTATGACATAAAAGACAAACTAGAACACCAAGAACTATTCTCTACATATGCCCTCTAGTGGTGGCTTACAGCAATTACAACTGAATAATGAGAGGGTATCACAGTATGTGAAATGGCTCATACACAGACCTGCACCATATCACCATCCTAGGGGTGTCTGGCATGTGTCTAAAGGAGAAGCGGAAACATGCCCCATCCTCAAACTCTGTATAACATTTGCAGATCCAAGAGAAGTAGTACGAGTCAGTTTTGCAATTGCCAGTATCATTCAATGTAATGCCATGTCAGCTATCCAATTCTGCAAAGCAGTTACATAAACAAAAAGAACCCTCAAATCACGATACCTTCCCACCTAATGAAAAAATACCTTTCTATACATAATGTGAAGGCAGGTCTATATATCTAGGTCTCTGCATATAAACCATAAATTATCTGTTTCTGGAGGTGAAAAATGTGCTAGTGTGCAAAAACTGGAAATTCCTGTACATTCCTGCAATTAGTTCCAGCCTGCCTTTTAAGGCCTGCACCCATTTTGACTGGTACCCGCACCCACTTCTGCTCCGACTGCCTAAGTGATCGGAAGCCATCCCCCGCAGTATTCTGGGACACATGAAAGTTCCCAGAAGACTGCCGGACTATTTACAATGCGCAATTGTTCACGCGTTGAAGCCACAAGCTGTCATAGCCGGGTACCCACTGGTAAGATGCCAGTGCCGGGGACAGGAAACCACTAGAAAGAACGGCTGGTGTGAGCACATTATTGGATCATAGGATAGGGGGGTGGCCGTTTTTATTTTTTTTTTTTTTACAGCAGGCTGGAGAACAGCTTTAAGGTCAGTGAGAATTACCAAGTCTGCCTGCACTTGTCACGGCTTCATTATGGCTGACACTATCACAAATGATTTATAAAGCACCTACAACTGATGTTTTGCTGTGTAAAAGTAATAAACAGGAACAAGGTTAGTTCAGAATGTACAAATACACAGAAACATTCCAAATGGCAAGTACATAAAAGTGCAAAGCAGACCATTCGCCAATAAAGATAGGGCATTGCTTGTATGAGATAATCACAGAAGAAAAGCTCACTATTGCTCCTGGTCTGTTCTTGGTCTCGATTCAAAACTGACCTATACATGAGATACAGAGGATAATGCCAAGGAAAGATCAAATTTTACCCAATCCAAAAGAGCTAGGACCTTTGTAGGTGGGTTTTAAATTATACATTTATAATATGAATATTTTCCATTTTTGAAGACTGGGTCATGGGCAGTCAAGGCTCACTGATGCACATTGGGAACAAAGGCTGACCCATGCAGTTTGATCCAATAGACGAACTACTGTATTTCAAACTGCTGATTCCAATAGAAAGGTGTCAAAACACACAGTGCAGCACAGTTTTTTGTGTATGGGGCTGTGTAGCTACACACCGGTTAGCGTACCCCTCGTGACCTCTGCACACAGCAAAAAGCACACACAATGGGCACATGAGCATCAGGCCTGGACCAAGGAGCAATGGAAGAAGCTGGCCTGGTCTGATGAATTCAAGAATGGTTTGAGGAACACAAGATCAAGTTGTTGACTTGGCCTCCCAATCCTTCAGATCTAAATACAAATCGAGCATCTGTGGGATTTGCTGGAAAAAAGTCCGATCCATGGAGTCCCCACCTCACGACTTAAAGGATTTGCTACTGACCGCTTGGTGGCAGATACCACAGCATGCCTTCAGAGGTCTAGTGGAGTTCATGCCCCAAATGGTTATGTTGGGTGGTCATATGTTATGGCTGATCAGTGTACATCAAACCAACTTTATGTGAAGACAGAAATTACCTGATCTGTAACGTCATACACAACGATGATTCCGTGAGCGCCTCTGTAGTAACTGGATGTGATAGTTCGAAATCTTTCTTGACCAGCTGTATCCCACTGTATTGGGAGAAATAAATGTTTAAATGTGCAACCTGTCAAAGTGTCACACACATAACCAAACATGCACTTAAAGTGAAATTTCAGCTATAGACTTAACTAGCCTTAAAACTGCCCCCTCCTAACACCTATGCCAACAAACCTATGTAAGAAAGATGTACAGTACATGCTTAGCTGTTTTCAAGCCACTCCAGTGACGTGATCTGCTCCCCTTTGTCAACCAAGTGCTGTTGGTGCTCTGGGCTGTGCTAGTAGTCAGAGCGCTCTCCCTTGAAATGCCATTGGCAGATACAGGAGAGCCAGATCATGTGACCGAAGCGGACTGTAAATAGGTAAGTATATAACATCTTTCTTAAACAGGTTTGTTAGCATAGGGATAGGAGGGGGAGGGGACAGTTTTAAGGCTAGGCTAGTTTGCTGGAATTCCACTTTAATGGTTTTTCACTATAAATAGCTTTTAGCCCTCAATCACATGGTACTCCTGCAATGGTTTCATTTAAACATGGGAGATTCATATCTGAAAAGTATCAACATTCCACCTATCAGATCAAGTTCTCCGGCAGTTAAAATGTATTGCATTCACTTGCATTTAGACACTTTCAGAGCATCCACTCTACACCCAGACCCACAGAACTCGATTTTCTCTATAAACAGCTAGACTGAAGGATTCTAAATGCAAGCGACTGTACAATGTAAAAGGTAGCATTTAAAATCAATACATGCATTTATATGCTCTTAGAAACGTCTAATAAACACACAATGCATATAATCACGTATGAGGCCTGAACTGTTGTCAAACGTTCTCTACAGAAGAAAAGGACTGACAGTAAAGGAAACACAATAGAGGTGAAAGCTGCAGTTGTGTAACGAAGGAATGCCAGCACTAACAGTAAGATCACGGGAAATCTTTATGTAAACATCAGAATCAGTATTGGGGGCCACAGAGGGCAATGTGAGGCCTAACTCACACCGGCACGCCTGCGTTTACTTTCCTAAAAGCAGGGGAAGGTATCTGGTTAGTACAAACCATTTTTATGTCTCCCAGATGACAATTTCTACATTCAGATGCTCCTTAGCAGCGCTTCGCGTATCTATTCATATCCTGGACACACAGTTTGGTTTTTCTCTTACAGCTGGTTCACACCATAGAAACGCCTTCTGGATGCATTTCTGCATTGCGTGTTTGTGATACATTCTAGTGCTTTTTTTCCCCATCTTTTTCTTCATCCTAAGTAGGGATATATGCACATTCTGATGGGGTGTTCCAGTGAATTTTTGATTAGTTTTGCCACATTCCAGTATTGTTCAGTGTAGAAAAAAAATGCAGGATGTTGTACTTTTATTTTTTTGCACTGGAACTGACTACATTGGAACCCACATAACCTACTGTTCATGTGTTTTTGATGTAAAAAAAAACAAAACAAACAAAAACACTGGACTATATCTGGTGTGAACCAGCCCATAACTGATTGCACCTAAACACAGGGCTGAAGTGTAATGAAGAAATATTCCTAACGTGGACAATCCTTTCTTACTGTTCCGAGTGGTGGGAGTGTCAGGCTCTGTCTGCTTTATTTCCTGGCACTTTGCGATCCTTCAGCCATCTTTGAAAATAGAAGGCCAGGAAGGAGAGGGTGCCATCCCTATACCAGAGGAACTGTACAAACCGCAGAACTTAAAGTATAACCAAAAGGCAAAACTTTTTTTTTTTTCTTTTTTTTTTTTACACATTTTAGACCAGGCCTTGAAATTTACACTCGCTTGCTCGCCAATGGCGAGTGGGTATTATAGTGGGGGCGAGTATTGCCCCCCAGGGCCGTCTTGCTGAGCAGGCTCAGAGCTCAGGCCGGATCTGTCATTGGCACTGGGAGCCGTCAGACTGCTCAATAGCTGAGCGCAGTGAAAGCAAAGGAAGGAGTGTGTGTGCTGTGCTCTCTGCCTCCCCCTAGAGTGCAGTACCCGGATCTGTGAGTGAACACGAAGTACTGCAACTTATTATAGAGGTGTGTGTACGCATGTAAATGTGTCTGTGTGCATCTGTACATGTGTGCATCTGTACATGCGTCTGTTTGTATGTATGTACGTACATGTGTCTGCATGTACACGTGTCTGTGTATGTATGTACATGTGTGTGTGTACATGTATCTGTGTGTATGCATGTCTGTACGTGCCTGTGTGTGTATACGTGTGTGTGTGTGTATACGTGTGTGTGTGTGTATACGTGTGTGTGTGTGTGTATACGTGTGTGTGTGTGTGTGTATACGTGTGTGTGTGTGTGTATACGTGTGTGTGTGTGTATACGTGTGTGTGTGTGTGTGTGTGTATACGTGTGTGTGTGTGTATACGTGTGTGTGTGTGTATACGTGTGTGTGTGTGTATACGTGTGTGTGTGTGTGTATACGTGTGTGTGTGTGTATACGTGTGTGTGTGTATACGTGTGTGTGTGTGTGTACATGTTTCTGTGTGTGTATGTACATGTCTATTTGTGTGTACAGGTGTCTCTGTTTGTGTGTGTTTGTGGCGAGTAACTCTTAAGGCCTGGCTAGTAGCTCAGAACTTGAAATTTTAAGCCCTAAAGAATGGAGAAGGATTAGAACACCTGCCAGTTGTTGCTTCTATCTGTGCCCCCGAAAAAGAGATTCACCCTATTTGTCCTGTTATCTTCCAATAGGGATATAGGTTCTGGTGACCTTGGGGTTCCCAAAGAATTCCCTCAATTTGCAGGTGTGAGATTTCCTCTCACTTCCTGGTTGGCGGGTTGGGACAGGAAGTGAAGGGAAATCTCTGCAATGGGACACAGATGGTGGAAAAAAAAAAAAAAAAAAAAAAAACAGACAGATGTCGTTACCCTCCCTTACTCTACCCAAAATGAAAAAAAATTAAAAAAGTTTTGCCTATAGTTCTACTTTAAGACAGAGCTGTCACCATGAGCTCAACCATCAACCTTCCCCTACATTTTTCCATTCACCTTCTCCATTCCTGTTGGCTGGGTAGGCAAACAGTATGAGGAGCAATAGCTGCTAAGAGGGTTACAGACTGCAGTGCTCTTACTATCTTGCCTCCTATAAATCTTTCAACTAAAGTTCAAAACAACAAAATATAATCTTCAACACCAATGACAAGTAAACAACTATACCAACATACTGATTGACATTCTATGCATTGTGGCTCCCTAGGTTACAGTTGACATTACAAATAGAAAAACCTATTAGGATAGGACTACAGAAGCTGCCACTGATGCCCTGTAGAAGGGGCAGAATCTGGTAATGACAAGTTCATCTTTGCTTCACTACTTTGATCAATGATGAAGAGCAATGAGCTGCACATGCATTTTACAGGTCAGCAGCTCATTAAGAAGTAGAGAGTAGTATTTTAACAGTCCTGAAACCACCACTTACTAAAAGCACCTAGCATATTTCTTGCCAATTACAGCCCCCCCCCCCCATCCCCCCAAGAGCCCAAAAGATGAACTTCACCACCCCCCCATGTTCCTTCCCCCTGTAGCACTATGCAATGCCACTTCTGAGTCTCCTGGGAAATTTGATGCAGATACCTTCTCAGGAGGCTGCAGGAGCAAGGTACACATTTTCCCCTAGGCAAGAACGTAGCCAGGTAGGGTTTTGTTTCCCCTTCATTGAAAGATTTTTTTTTTTTTTTTTTTTTAAATTATACCTACCTAGGAGGATGCAGCATCAATCCAATGCTGCATCTGTCCCCCGCTGGTACCAAGGGTGAGAACTGAGTGATCAGACACCACTGATTGCTCAGTTCTCCCTGCTGCTCTGAGCAGAGCGGTGACTGTCAGTCACCGCTCTCTACTCTGCCCCTCCCCCACCCTCTGTGCTCACTGGAACACTGGACTGTGGAGGGAGCAGGAAGGGCCCACTGAGAGGTGCCGGTCCAGGCTCCTGGGTGGATCCCGACCATAAGGTCGCAATCTTTCCCGAGCTTGGAGCAGCGGAGTGATGTCAGCTGACAGCGTATTTTAGCCTGTTGTCGACTGAAAAACGGGTCACAGGAGTGCAAAACGAACCACACTCATGTGATCCACAGGAGTAAAGCCCAACGAGCTTTGGCTGTACCTCTTCTTTAAACCTTTTTTGTGTGCATATAATGTTGAAAACCCTTGTGAAATAAACAAGCTTAACTGTGACTATGTAGGACTAATAATGGCTCTTCGTGTGTATCAGCTGCACAGACAAAACCTTCACTGCCCTCTCGCAGCAAATCAGCTTTCAAAAGAGACCACTTGACCACGTTTACACAGTAACTTAATCATAGTAACGCTTTTAACATAAGACCACTTCTGATATAAATACATGCTGTACTGCAAAGCGGACAACAACCTTTATACTTCTCCATTTTCCTGGGAAGTCAGCAGCTACAAAGCTGCCTTCACTTCTTGTATTCCTCAATTGATATATATATACAAGCTTAAAGAGGACCTGTCACTTCTAATTCATCTCTCTTTTTCTTACAAGTTATAATTTAAAGCTGAACTCCAGGAAAAGTGACAGTAATCCACTGCAGTGGGGCTGCTCTTACACGTCAAGGGTCAACTGCTTGTGTCAGGGAGGACTGGGTAAAGCAGTTTTACTTACCTGATTCTCTGATACTGCAGACACCTCGGCACTGTTAGACTGGTCCCTGCAGCCTTCCCCCTCCCCCCCCGCATTCTGCCAGTCTGGTGCCTCTGGCATAATCAAGGCCGATGCAGGGACCATAACCCTGCACTGAACATGACACTGAGGGACAGGCCACTGCCTGAGCATGGGGGAGCAAGAATTAAGTAGGTAGGTGAAATTGGAGAATTGGGCTTTAAGTAAGCTTTAATGAGAGGAACAAAACAGTTTTGGAGCCAGGTAATTTTCTGGGAATGAATGGGGAAGTCTAGAGAGGTCTAGTTCTGCCAACAAAGGTTGCACCAAAAAGAAAGTGAGGGTAAACCTACAACTGGGACACAGACAAATAAAAAGCTAACAAGGTTTCTAGCCCTTCCGAGCTTAAATTTTATTTCTGTTTGCATTGCGACTGGGGGGGGGGGGGGGGGGGGGGGAGCCGGACAGTAAATGAAGGGAATCCATCAAAAATCCCATCAGCAAAAATATCCATACAAAAGGGTTCCGGTTCTTTTCTCTATCCAAAAACTAAGAAAAAAAAAGAAGAAGGTGGTCTGCGTGGACATACACTTTACCCTTTCCATGGGATAACATTTTCTGACCAGCAAGTCAAGAATAATCATATTGTTTTATGACAACAGAAGTATCCGGCACAATTATTATAATACATCCCTCCGGGGGTCCAACAATGCAGCAATCAACACTTCATATCTGCAGAACAATACTTCATTACTTACTATCTGAAGTTTAATTGTTTTCCCGTCTAATTCTATAGTCCTGATTTTAAAATCCACACCAATTGTACTGATATAACTTTCTGTATAAGTATCATCCTGCAGAAGAAAAAAAAAAAAAAAAAAAGATGCAAATTAGCAGATAATTAATGCGAATACAAAGTTCAGTAATAAGTTAAAAAAAAACTTAGCTGTGTAGAGGAAGTACCTTATCCTGTGCCCGGAGGGGGAGCTCAGTATTCACTGCAGCCATTCATACACTATATTGCCAAACGTATTGGGATACCCCTCCAAATCATTGGATTCAGGTGTTCCAGTCACCTCCATGGCCACAGGTGTATAAAATCAAGCACATAGGCATGCAGGCTGTTTCTATAAACATTTGTGAAAGAATGGGTCGCTCTCAGGAGCTCAGTGAATTCATGCGAGGCACCGTGATAGGTTGCCACCTGTGCAATAAGTCCACCCGTGAAATTTCCTTGCTACTATATATTCCACGGTTAGCTGTTAGTGGTATTATAACAAAGTGGAAGCAACTGGGAACAACAGCAACTCAGCCACGAAGTGGTAGGCCACGTAAAATGACAGCGGGGTCAGCGAATGCTGAAGCGCACAACTCACCAACTGTCTGCAGAGTCAATAAAGACCTCCCAAACTTTGTGTGGCCTTCAGATTAGCACAACAGTGCATAGAGAGCTCCATAGAATGGGTTTCCATGGCCGAGCAGCTGCATCCAAGCCTTACATCACCAAGTGCAATGCAAAGCATCACATAGCAGTGGAGACGTGTTCTCTGGAGTGACGGATTGTGCTTCTCTGTCTAGCAATCCGATGGACGTGTCTGGGCTTGGCGGTTGCCAGGAGAATGGTACTTGCATTGTGCCAAGTGTACAGTTTGGTGGAGGGGGGATTATGGTGTGGGGTTGTTTTTCAGGGGTTGGGCTTGGCCCCTTAGTTCCAGTGAAGGAAACTCTTAAGGCGTCAGCATACCAAGACATTTTGGACAATTTCATGCTCCCAACTTTGTGGGAACAGTTTAGGGATGACCCCTCCTGTTCCAACATGACTGCGCACCAGTGCAGAAAGTAAGGTCCATGGATGTGCGAGTTTGGGGTGGAGGAACTTGACTGGCCTGCACAGAGTCCTGAACTCAACCCGATAGAACACCTTTGGGATGAATTAGAGCTGAGACTGCCAGCCAGGCCTTCTCATCTGACATCAGAGCCTGACCTCACAAATGTGCTTCTGGAAGAATGGTCAAACATTCCCATAAAAAATAAAAATGTTTTCCCTCCTATTGTGACCATCTAGCCTATTTGTCTTTCCCGCTAAATACAGGCCTATACTTCGCACTCCAGGAGCAGGATATTACTTAACATGTGAAGCTAGGTCTTAAAAGTTTAAAGTTATATTAAAGCAAAACATACAGTCCACGTTTTGAATTATTGGGTTTCCAATTTCCTCTACAAAAGTTTTGATAAAAAAGTTTAACGGTGGACACAGGAACCATTACCATTGTTTGAGCCCTTTATGACCACCTAACAAGTGCAGTGAAAAAAGGATGGGCTTTAATGCCTGCATGGTATGTGTTGCTGGGTGGCCAATGTTTTTTTTTTTTTTTTGCAGAGAGGGCACTTACTGCACACCCCCAGCACTGAGACCACACTGAAATACAGCTATTGGTCCTCCCTAATGACCAGTAGCTGCTGGGAACAACTCCTCAAGTGACCATTTTGATAGCCAATCACAGTGGTCATGTGATTGGCCAATCTTTCCTCCCCCTGCAGCATTCAGAACTATTTAAATGTATGTTGGGGTGGGAAGGAAAAGGTTAAGTGTGAATGAACCATAACACCGACAACATTTAAATGACATCTAAGCTATCCTGAAAGAAAGCAATTTGAATCCTCCCATCACAGCCACTTTAGTCAACAGGAAGTGATTAAGGTGTAAACAGGAACAGAGACCTGAGTGCAGGAAGGCGGCCACAGCTGACTCAGGAGAAGAGAGAAAACCGGATTTCCCATACTGGCAAAGCTGTGAGGCATCAAATGTCAGCCTTCTTTTAGACCTAATTGCTGGCTATGACCTTAGTTACATTAAAAGCAGAACTCTGTCCAATATGAGAGAGAGAGGGAGAGAGAGAATATATATGTGTGTGTGTGTGGGGGGGGGTGATAGAGAAGTTCTAAGCTTTCCAGACTCTTCTAGTATTACAGTAAATTGTTTTTGCTGCTGTCAGTATCTGTTTAACATATTTTCACACATCTTGTTATATAGAAACAGGAGCTAAAAAGAAATCTGTACTATAGAGATAAAGACTGCAATATCATCTGACAGGCTCAAACCCTTTCCAATTCTATCCAATACGTTTTGGCTTTTTTTATTATGTTATACTTACCTACTCTGTGCAATGGTTCTGCACAGTGCTGGCCCAAACCTTCTCTTCTAGGGTCCCCTGCCAGAGCTCAACCTTGTCCTCTTCTCTGTGTGCTCCCACAGCAAGTAGCTTACTATGGGGGCACACGTGGGCTCAACCCTAAGCTCGGATGTGTGCATCCAGTGTGGCTTGGCCCTGACCCCCTCCTCTCACCAGTTCTTCCTCACTTAACATGACTGACAGCAGCAGGAGCCAGTGGCTTCTGTTGCTCTCAGCCAAGCTTGTGAGAGCATGGAGAGGGGAGAGAAAAAATGAAGCTGGACACAGCATTGGATTGACAAAAAACTCAGGTAAGTGCTTGGGGGGGGGGGGGGGTTATTGGCTATTGTCACACATTTGATTTCTTTTCACAAGCAGCACCTTTAAACAATGAAGGTATCCCACTTAACAGACTTCAGTAGGTTTGTCTGCATTCTTTGTGAATTAAAACAGGCAGCTCTGATGTAAATAGGGATGGACTGCTACCAGGTTTTTATTGTTAAGTATGAGTACCAATACTTTCGATCAAGTACTTGCCGATACCGAGTACCAATACTTTACAGTGTGATTTGCGTTCCTTGACACAAATTGCATCGCAAAAAATAGCATGTAATTTTAATAGGAACATGATTCCTGTCCAAATCGCATGCAGTTTCCCCACTGCTTCTGTGTGAACCCAGGCTTGTCATAGCCCATGTTCACACAGGAGAGGTGCAGGAAACTTCCCTGCAAGCATCTTATGTTGATTGACAGAGTGAAGTTCCACTTTAACCAATTACATGTGAACAGCGATGGACCATGTCAGCCTGTCATTGATTTGCACAGGCTTCCTGTCACCAGCTGAACAAACAACTGGCGGTTCTTGATGCAGAAATAGGCTGTTCTGGACAGTATACTGCAAGGACCGGCAGTGTGAATAAGCCCCATCTATGACTCCTTTGCATACCTACATTTTTATTTTCAAGAGCCTATAAGGCATTTAAATGAAACGCTTTATTAAAATACCCTGCGCTGATTTTTTTTTTTATTACAGGCTTACACATTTTTTTTTTTTAATACTGTAATTGTAATGGGCAATTGAAATATTTTTAAATCAGTCACTAAAGAAACAAGGATGTTTCCCTCTGCACTCCAAATACTCAAGCTGTCCCTGAATATTATTTGAATAATCCAAATTAATGGGAAGCTCGTGATGTTAAAGAAAAGTCAGAATATCAGATCTGCACACTTACTCTGGAATAGAGCCTTTGAGACCAGTGAAGCTGTACAACAGCCAGAAAACTAGTAATTTCAGAAGAACAGCACAGGCAGTTCCCATATAACCATCACAGGGTTTCTTCCAAAATTATTTGTTACACTTAAGAAATGTTAACATTCAGGCAATCATAAGACAAATCAGCAACTGAAAATTGTGCTTTGTGAAATTTTCATTTTGCCTGCTAAATTATGTATGCCCACAGAGGTACCTGATCTGCTAAAGTATAATAGGATCCAGGTTACCTTCACCACCACTGAAACCTGAATCCTTTCATTGTTCATTTCATGAAAAATATACCTCATCTTCCCAACCTTGTGTCCCAGTTAAAACTAAAACATTGGAAAGCCAATGTGTCTTTGAGCACATTGTTCTAATAATGAATCAAGGACAAGTTAATGGCCCAAAAAAAAAAAAAAAAAAAAAAAAAAAATCAAGTCAATTATAACCTGCAGAGCACTGCCCAGTAATGGTACACATAGGAGGGCTATTTATATAACAATGAAATGAATACAAATCTTAAGGGCCCATGCACACCCCAACACTGTGCTCTTTGATCAGCACTTTTTGCGCATTGAGGCTTGTTGCAAACATATGCTTTGAATGTACCCGATGCATGAAAAAAAAGAGAAATAGATCCTACTCTAATTTCAAAATGCAGCCCACTGCAAAGAACAAAGCAGCTGCATCTATGCTTTTGGGTGCGTTGCACACACGTATGTGCACTGGGCTGCAATTAGCAATGAACAGCAAAACACATACAGTGCACTTGCATCGTGATATTTAACTAAAGGAAAATTTGGTCTTTTAACTAAACATTATACAGCACGGCAGGTAAAAACAATTAGTAAAATCTGAAAACAGTATTTACCATATATCAAGCTCTTTTATGTGTGCTCTGGCTGTTCTAACCAACTACTGTGTTCCATAGTAATCTACTTAAAGCTGAACTCCAGGCAGGTAAAGGAATCAGTGTAAGTACCTGAATTTGACTTCATGTAGAGAATAGCTTAGATGGGGAGATGGAAGGCATCACAAGGAGCTATTTAGTTCTGTAGTACACATGTACTAACAAAGAATATTCTGATAGAAGGAGACAGTAAAAAAGACAGAGCAGCTCATCGGTCTGCTGCTTCCCCTTTCACTGTTCAGTGACAGACTGCAGGAGGAACAAGACATGCAAGGCTATGTTTACACTCAAATACACCCAAAAAGAAAGACATTTCCCCTCAACACGTGGTAGTGCATTGTGGTGCCCTAAAATGCATGTGTTGGCAAGGTGTTTTAGGTGCCTTTAACCCCTTGACGCTGACCACACGCAAATTAGCGGCCTCACAGAATTGAGCTCTTTTCCGTTGGGCCACTAATTCGCGCACCTTCCTTTCTACTGGAAGCGCGCCGCATGGCACGCCCCCGGCACAAAGACTGGGGTATCACAGAGCCCTGAGTCCCGTTCTAACGATTTGGACCCGGAACTCCAGATTCCAGGTGACCTGATCGCTGAGATAGCCTCTGATTAGTTATCACAGTGATCAGTCGCTGTGAAGCCCGCCCCCTCTCTGAATGGAGGCGAAAGATACAGTATCTCACAGAAGTGAGTACACCCTTTACATTTTTGTAAATATATTATTTCTTTTCATGTGACAACAGTGAAGAAATGACACTTTGCTACAATGTAAAGTAGTGAGTGTACAGCTTGTATAACAGTGTAAATTTTCTGTCCCCTCAAAATAACTCAACACACAGCCATTAATGTCTAAACCGCTGGCAACAAAATGAGTACACCCCGAAGTGAAAATGTCCAAATTGGGCCCAAAGTGTCAATATTTTATGTGGCCACCATTATTTTCCAGCACTGCCTGAACCCTCTTGTGCATGGAGTTCACCAGAGCTTCACAGGTTGCCACTGGAGTCCTCTTCCACTCCTCCATGACGATGTCACGGAGCTGATGGATATTAGAGACCTTGCGCTCCTCCACCTTCCATTTGAAGATGCCCCACAGATGCTCGATATGGTTTAGGTCTGGAGACATGCTTGGCCAGTCCATCACCTTTACCCTCAGCTTCTTTAGCAAGGCAGTGGTCATCTTGGAGGTGTGTTTGGGGGGTCGTTATGTTGGAATACTGCCCTGCAGCCCAGTCTCCGAAGGGAGGGGATCATGCTCTGCTTCAGTATGTCACAGTACATGTTGGCATTCATGGTTCCCTCAATGAACTGTACCTCCCCAGTGCCGGCATCACTCATGCAGCCCCAGACCATGACACTCCCACCACCATGCTTGACTGTAGATAAGACACTTGTCTTTGTACTCCTCACCTGGTTTCCGCCACACACACTTGACACCATCTGAACCAAATAAGTTTATCTTGGTCTCATCAGACCACAGGACATGGTTCCAGTAATACCACGTCCTTAGTCTGCTTGTCTTCAGCAAACTGGGGGCTTTCTTGTGCATCATCTTTAGAAGAGGCTTCCTTCTGGGACAACAGCCATGCAGACCAATTTGATGCAGTGTGCGGCGTATGGTCTGAGCACGGACAGGCTGACCCCCCCCCCACCTCTTCAACCTCTGCAGCAATGCTGGCAGCACTCATACGTCTATTTCCCAAAGACAACCTTTGGATATGACACTGAGCACGTGCACTCAACTTCTTTGGTCGACCATGGCGAGGCCTGTTCTGAGTGGTACCTGTCCTGTTAAACCGCTGTATGGTCTTGGCCACCATGATGCAGCTCAGTTTCAGGGTCTTGGCAATCTTCTTATAGCCTAGGCCATCTTTATGTAGAGCAACAATTCTTTTTTTCAGATCCTCAGACAGTTCTTTGCCATGAGGTGCCATGTTGAACTTCCAGTGACCAGTAAGAGAGTGAGAGCGATAACACCAAATTTAAACACAATCTTGGATATTTTCACTTAGGGGTGTACTCACTTTTGTTGCCAGCGGTTTAGACAATGACTGTGTGTTGAGTTATTTTGAGGGGACAGCAAATGTACACTGTTATACAATCTGTACACTCACTACTTTACATTGTAACAAAGTGTCATTTCTTCAGTGTTGTCACATTAAAAGGTATAATAAAATATTTACAAAAATGTGAGTGGTGTTCCTCTGTCTTTTCAGAGAGAAGAAATAAAACAGTGTGCGTAAAAAAAATAAACAAAACTACCTAGATCAAGGTTTGATCTAGGTCTGTGCCTGGGTAAGTGTTTGGGTCAAGCTCAGGGTTTTGTGTTTTAATTTTTAGATTAGTATCAGTTAGCAGCAGGATAAAAAATAAAGAAATAAATAATTGTGCACTATTGCTTCTGAGCTGTACTACAGGTACAAACAACAACATACACATATGTGGTATCGCTGCAATTGTCAAGAGCAGGAGAAAATATTATAGGATGTTCTTTGGTGGTAGATTATGGTAGTAGCCAGAAATATACAGCTAAACTTATGGAAAAAAAAATAAGTTTTGCTTTTTTTTTTACTACTTTGGTAAGAAAAAAAAAAAAAAACAAATCAGGAGATATCCAATACCATTTACCACCAAATGAAAGCCCAATTTGTCCTGAAAAAAAATAAACTAGGTATAATCCATCTGGATGCACAAAGTAGTTGTGATGATATGTACGGTTTTTGCCAAACACATGTCAAAGTTGCAAAATTGTAACTTAGGTGTTGAGATTTGTTTTACCCTTAGGCACAAAGGGGTTAAGAATGGCACTTCATCACCACAACACATTTGCATTTCCATTACACTCTCACTGCACAGAGGTGTGAATACTTCTTAGTGTAACTTAAAAGAGAAAGATCAAGAATAGCAAAAAAAGAAAAAAATAATACTCGCTAGATGGCTGTAACACTGATCTCAGCTGCCTCTGCCAGCTCTACCCCAAGAACTGAGCAATCAAACACCAATGATCAGTCAGAGAGGGGTGACTGTCAGCTACCAGCTCCACGCTTGCTCCCCCATGCTAACTAGATCTCCAGGCTGTAAATGGAGCCTTTCAGCAGCAAAGCAAGGATCTTTCCTGAGCCTGGACCAGGTCACGTGAACACAGGTCATAGGAGTGCAGAATGAACTGCGCTCCTTTCATCCATAGGAGAAAGAAAAGATAAAAGTGAACTTTACTTTCACTTTTTCTAGTTCCTTTGGACCAAGCGAGATTTTTCCTGCACTAACAGCTTTGTCCAAATGAACTAGTTAAAAAAGGACATTAAAACTGGAAATCAGTTTTAAGTGCAGTATAGAAAGATCAGATCTCCTGATCCCAGGTAGGGTTGTGCTGTATGGCAGAGCTGTGGAAAACTCCTTGCTGCATTTAGAAATACAAATCTTTAGCTGGTAAAACTGCTACCGTATATGTAGTTTATCTGTGTATTTAGTTGCTTGTCTGGAGTCCTACAAAAATGCACCTTTAGATTTTGTTGACAATGGGCAAGATATTTGCCGCACAAAGCATTCAATGTATCAGTGTTTGCATGGCACTAGACACACCAAATACCTCAAAAGCAAGTATCAGCATAACATGAGATTGCAAATGCTGCATTGACCACGCTGAAATGAAAAATGGTGGAAAAATGCAGCAAGGCAGAGTTATGAAGCCTTTAGACAAATTATGCTTCACCAAACTGTTCTGAAACTGGAATTTGGGCACACTGACCTAATATTGTAGGCCAATCGCTTACTGCTCCCCTATAAGGCCGAGTTCACACAGAAATGCAGAGCTGCCTGAGCGATTCACTGCTCCTGGCTGCTGTCGGGGGCATTGTGGTGTGCGATTTGGCATATCATATGGCTCCTTTTTTTGTACAAACTATATGTAAAGTGTACGAAAACATACACTTCACTCATGGCAATGCACACTACACTGGAAATATCTGATGTGCACGCAGACTTCAAATTTGTAGGACAAAAACCTGTGAATTTATGATCTTTGTTGAGAAAAAAAATGGGTGATATAAAAAGGTACATTTGCAAATACCCAATCAGCTACACTGATGCTTTTTCATGCCTTGACTGTATAAGTGTCAGAAGCTGATCAGTTGCTAAAGGCAAAAAAATTGTTTTATCCTACACAAACTCTACAAGGCTTGCTGGGGGGGGGGGGGGGGGTTACTCAGCGAAGAGGAGAAGCAGAGTCCAATACCGTTGCACAGAGCCCGGAAGTAGAACATGTTTATTTTAATAAAAAAAAAAAATATAAACAGCCTTTGGAATCACTTTAATTTTTGCTATGGGAATTACATCTTTAGGTGGCCAATTTCCTAAGATTCCACCACAATCAAATGTGAATACAAATTTTAGCTGCACTAATTTTAACAAAAACCTAGTTCTCTGCCTAAAAAGTACAAAAGCATTTTCTAAGTTCAAATGCAGAAAGAAGATCCAAAGTACAAAGGCATGCTATAGCAGAATACATTGTACACTATCACACACACGTTTAGAGGATCTCATTCCTCCCAGCTACCAAGCAGTGTCAGTATGAGCCTGTGGGAGGTGCTCTGGGTTTTCAAACAGAAGCAGATGGTTGGAGATGTATAGCCTGCTTTTATACATAATTTATTATTGTATGGATTATGCATAATTTAATACCTGAATATACAATCTACATGGCATATTCAGATATTCACTAAAGCCAAATGAAACAAATGCTCCTGAAATTTTTAAATCACCGTAAACAGAAATGTCAGTTCTAGGAGGATGTCAGCAGGTTAAAAACACTGGCCGGCTTATGATCTTTTGAAGCATCCAGTGGGCACAGAGTTCTGCCTAACTGCTGCTGTCTTCACCGGAGCATCACTATGTCATATGTAAAGAATGGACACATCTCCCTGGCCAGTTTTATCGAACATCTTGTCCTTTCAGTCAGAAACTCCTATCAACACATTGTACACTTCCTAATCCACGTGGTTTTAGAAGGAATGGTGAATTACAGCACTAGAGTACCTATGCTGTGAACTACAATGCATGAATTCACAAACACTTCAATAACCCAAAAAAGTTTCCAACTTAAATGTTATGTCTTTGTTTCTTAGTTCAGAGATGGAAAAAAACATCAATATAAAAGGGAACATTTAACCATAAGAAAACAAACTGTGAAAAAGAATTCCACTGAATGTCAATAAAATACATACATTAAATAAATGGTGTACTTACAGCAAACCTAAGCAAAAGGCAAGATTTCCCCACACCGGAGTCTCCAATCAGAAGCAATTTGAATAAATAGTCACTGTAAAGAGAAGGATACAGTTTACACATAGGAAAGGCTTAACAAGTCAGTCATCTTCCTGTGTCACCATCACATGATAGAATTTCCAGAGCTCCATCCAGAAGATACCTCCCCTCCTCTCCCAGCCAAGCCTGCAAAAACCTGGCAGCTCCTACACAGAAATGTTACAAAATGTCAGGCAAATATATATATCTATATATCTATATCATGCAAAGGTTATACATAACTCCATACACCAAGAACACTATATTCAACTTAAAAAAAAAAAAAAATCTAATGCGTGTTGTATTTTCTCTTCCCATATTGTCTGTTAACGTTTACTTTGTAAGTAATATAATATTTTTCCTGTTGAAGATTTTATCACACAGAACTACTAAAAATCACACATGCCCTTATTTATTGATTTTTGCTGGATTTCATAAAAATAGATTTATTGCGTGTGGTTCTCCTTCTAGAAATATATATCTTTTGGCATGAAAGCGGAGATCCAGCCGTTTGTGTTTATTAAAGTCAGCAGCTATAAAAACTGTAGCTGCTGACTTTAAATCAACACACACTTACCTGTCCCAGGGTCCAGCGATGTGCTCACCTGCGCCGTCCCTTCTCTCCTTGGTGCCGGCATCTTAACTGTGGGCACCAGGCTGTGACAGCTTGCGGCTTCACAGGCGGGTGCCCACTGCATGTGCGCGAGTCACGCTTGCCATCCCCATTTGTCTGGCAGTCTTCTGGGACCTGCGAAAATACCCAGGAGACTGCAGGGGCCAAACTTTCAGCTCACTTCACAGCACCCCAAAAGGTGCGCACCCCCCTTCACCCCAAATGGTGCCAAATGGATATGGCAGTGGGGGGGGGGGGGGGGGGAGCGGCAAACAAGCTGAGCTTCAACTTTTGGGTGGAACTCCGCAATAAAGTATAACTAAATGCAGAACCTTTTTGTTTTGGATAGAGTGGAGAGGTGTTAGAACACCTGACAGATTTTTACTGCTTTTTGTGCCCCCCCTTAGGATGATTCAGCCTATCTGGTGCAGTGGTCACCAGGACAGGAAGAGAGGAGAAATCTTCAAATGGGGACACTAGTTCTAGTGACAACTAGTGACTTCCCTCAGATTGGAGGAATTTCTCAATTCCTGTTTGACTATGGGACAGGAAGTGAAGGAGAAATCACCCCAGTGGGACACGACAAAACGACTGGGGTTATAACCCCCCTTGCTCAATGGGAAAAAATGGTTTGCCTTTAATTTCTCTTTAAAACTAAACTCCAGAATTAAAACATAACATACACCCTGGCAAAGCAACCCCCCCCCCCCTCCAACCACCTGCAAGAGTGTTCATTAAGTCTAGGACCCTGGTGGCAGAAGTCTGCTGGCCTGGGCCCTGCGTGTGGTCTGTGGGCACCATATAGGAAGCAGAGAGGCAGCAGTGTGTGCTGGGCACTGAACAATTCCCTGTGATCCAGTGCGGACAATGGAAAGGACTGTACTGTGGATGGAGAGAGTGAAAGCAGCATGGGAGCATGTGATCAAGTAATAGGTATGAGGGAGGTTAAAATTTCACTGCCATAGCAGCAGGGGGGCAGTCTGCATCCAAGGTCAATCACTTGCATGTGATCTCTGCATGAGTGATTACATGCGACTAGGTGCAATTAGCTGCTAAAACCAGCATCCTCCCATTGCTGCAATGGGGCTGCAACTAATCGTGGGAACCCCTGCCAGAGTTCTCACATATATTCGCAGGCAGGGTGCATTCGTAAGCGTGAATGCACCCTTAAACCATAAGATCACCTGAACAGGTTACATGTTCCACCCATTTTTAGCACACCCATTCCCATAGCTGCAAACCCCCCCCCCCCCCCCCAGATAATACGGGGAGAAGTTTCCCCGTACTGGCAGATTTGTAAACACGGCTGCGCGGGGCTCCGATCCACACAGCCGCATCATTCATTCAGACTTCCGTGAATGAACTGTAAGTCCCGGCAGCCTTAGCGGCTGTGGGCTTGTAGCTTTCAATGAACTACAAAAATTCATACCAATGCAATATTTTTCTGATCGATTTGACGCAAAAAAAACGATCATGAGCTTAAGGGCTATTTTTAGTGGATTGCTTTTCAGAGATGTTTGACAAGCAGCAAAGAGATGTGTTGCCTCCTCTCCACCTATTTTTTTTTGTAACTCCTTTATTTTTCAGAGAAAAAATTCAGGTTACAAAAAAGGTAAATAAAAGGAGATAACAAGTACATTAATTCTTAATGCATAGATCAATGACCACCAAGAGGATTCCACATAACACAATGTTTGATATGCAGCAATACAGATTACCCTAGACTGGTACCTGAACAACCATCAATAGAGGAATATAAAACCGTAATAGACAACCTCGGAGTTATGCAAATCTCACCACCTGCTTGAACCCTCAAGATGATGACCCACTGCACCAGAACTGTGTGCTTTGCATTTGGTGGTGGCACGGCCCCTTTCACTTGAATTGATTGCTTTAGGCAGAAATAACACCTGCTGAATGTGAGGGGTCACTTAAAAGGCATAGGTACAGCCCTGTATAGCTGCAGTGCATGCTTAGATCGGGGTAACAAAACCATGGCTCAACTACTTGCTTTTACCGTCCCCCCCCCCGGTTGCCTGTGTAATTGAGTCCTAAGGGTCACACTTGTGTTTACAGTAATGCTTGCTTTACCACGCTGTACAAAAATGCACCATACACGTCAGTGAGTGTTCATTTCATAAATTCACCATACACGTCAGTGAGTGTTGCCAAGATCCGCTCCTTCCTCACCCCAGACACCACCAAACTTCTAGTACACTCCCTCATCATCTCACGCCTTGACTACTGCAACTCCCTCCTCACTGGCCTACCCAAGTGCAGGCTCTCCCCCGCTCCAGACCATCCTGAACTCAGCTGCCAGACTCATCCACCTTACCACCCGCTCCACTTCTGCCACCCCCCCTCTGCCTCTCCCTCCCACTGGCTCCCGATTGCCCAACGCATCAAATTTAAACTCCTTACCCTGACCTACAAAGCCGTTCACAACACTGCCCCTGACTACCTCACCAATCTGATACCAGGTTCCTACCACCCTACCCGTACCCTTCGCTCCTCACAGGACCTCCTTCTATCCTGCTCCCTGGTCTCCTCCTCCCATGCACGACTGCAGGACTTCTCCAGGTCCTCCCCCCCATCCTCTGGAACTCACTGCCCCAATCCTTATCAGACTGTCGCCTTCTCTATTCACATTCAGGCGCTCCCTCAAAACCCATCTCTTCAGGGAAAGCCTACCCCACCCTCACCTAAAGGCCATCCTCCTCATTCCTCCTACCACTTCATCCCCCCCAGCCACTGTACCTTTAAATTGTAAGCTGTAAGAGTAGGGCCCTCTTACCCCTCGTACGCTGTCTGTCTTTGTTGTACTGTGCCATTATTGTCCCCCCCTATTGTACAGCGCTGAGCAAACCCTTTGGCGCTATATAAACTCGTAGTAATAATAATAATAATAATAATTTTCAACGGTGCTCCAAAAAGGGATGATAATCCAAATTAACTCAAAAACAGACTACCTTAAAGTGGAACTGCACTGCATCTGAGCACCACAAACCAACAATGCTATTCAATTAATTGTTAATATTCAAAGCAAACTCCCCCATCCATCTATGTCTCCATGCTTTACTTTGCTGAGAAATTATTTTGAAAAACACCCCCCCTGGCATTTCTGGTAGTGGCCATCTAGCGTACCGGCATAGGATTCATGTAGCATTTACTTCCTGGAATCTATCCGTCATTAGCTCAGGCATTGGCTGAGCAGAGAACCCTCCCCTCCCCTCCTGAAGACACCTGGGATGTGTGACATCATATGCCTAGACATGGAAATCAGGAAGTAACTGAAGAAATGTGGGAAACAAGTAAATATCATATATACTTAAAAATATTCAACGGTGATTGAAAGAGTTAAGTTCCACTGTAATGCACCACACATTAACACGTTTTACAAGCATCACATCAGACTTTCTAGGTGTATATGGGGCTCTAAATAAATACTGGTTGAAATTATTCCAAAATGTAAATTAGATGGAAAGACTAGTCAAGTTACCACACCTAACAGTGAGATCTAGGTACCAAAATTCCCAGATCTACACCTGCTATGGTCTTAATGAGAGGGTCTCGCTGCCCTTTCTGTACGTTACATTATGGAGAAAGCAATAAGCTGTATGAAATGCCTTCTTCTAAAGGAGTAGAAATCAAACTCCAAAGCAAAAAAGAGAAAAGCCGGCAAAGTCCTATCGTATTGCCACCTACCTAAAGTGGAAATATCAGCTGTACATAGGCTGAGCCTTTACATCTCTGTATACTTGCAGAACTATCACTGCAAACATGAATGAGATATAATGAACCCATATGTAGAAATGACTTTAGTAGAGACTGCAGTAAGGTGCCAAGCTTATAGTGCAAAAAGAAAACACTCCTGGTTACTATGGCGATGAGTGTCACGCACCCCCCCCCCCCCCCCCCCCCCCCCCCCCCCAGTCTTTAGAAAACCAAGCAGAAAAAGCCAAATCTTAAAATGACAGCAGCATAAAGGAGCGCACAATTTCCAAATTTTGCAAAATTATTGCCATGAAAACCAGGAAGGAGGACCAGAAATGGAATATTCACAACACACATACAAACTCCCCCATATGGGAATAGCAGACCAAATACCAAAATCTGAGTGTGCAAGGTGCCAAAGAGTCCGAGAATTCCACAAAGTGCTACATCCCATAGCAACCAGTCAGCATGCATGTTTGTCTCGTCTTCTGTAGAGATGGAATCAAAATTGTGGCCTTTACATGAAAAGGAAGGAAATGTGTCCATTTTACTGCACCATTAAAGTGGTTGTAAAGGCTCTATGCACAAAGATAAAAAAACCTTCTGTCTGCAGCAGCCTACCCTCCCCCCCTCCTCCAAATACTCAACTGAGCCCCATCTAAATCCAGCGATGTGCACAAGAGCAGTGGCTCATTGATGATTCTTCTTCCTAATTGGCTAAGACAGCAGCAGGAGCAATTGACTCCCACTACTGTCAATCACAGTCAGTGTGCCAATGAGGAGAGAGCGGGAGCGGGGCCAAGCCAGGTTCCATGTGTGAATGGACATACAGAGCAGCAGCTTGGGAGAGAGCCTGCTCAGATGCCCCCATGGGGGGAGGGAAGGGGCAGGAGAACCAGCAAGGTACCCGAGAAGAGGAGGATCGGGGCTGCTCTGTGCAAAACCATTGCATATAACAGGTATGACATGTTTGTTACTTAAAATAAATAAAAATCTGCCTTTAACCACTTGCTTCCCAAGCCTATTATGACATTCCTCTCTTACATGTAAAAATAATTTTTTTTTGCTAGACAATTACTCAGAACCCCCAAAAAATTTATATTTAAGGAAATGCCTAGAGAATAAAATGGTGGGTGTTGCAGTTTTTTATGTCACTTATCGCTACAAAGTAGTTGTAAAGTCAATTCTATTTTACAAAAACAAAAAAAGTTATACTTACCTGCTCTGTGGAAGGGTATTGAACAGAGCAGCTCCAAACCTCCTCTTCTGGAGTCCTTCACTGGAGATGTGCGCTCCACCTCTTTGTGTGCGTCTGTTTTCTATGGGTGTACTGGGCTAGCCGGGCTGTGAGCATCCATAGACGCACGCAATGTGGCTCAGCCCACCCTCCACTCTCTCCTCACAGTATTTGGCTGACAGCAGAAGGGCTCCTTCTGCTGTCAGCCAAATACTGTGAGGAGAGAGTGGAGGGTGGGCTCAGTGGTTGCTCTCAGCCAAGCGTATGAAGAGAGGGGAGACAGGAGAGAAGACCTGCAGACAGACACAGTGCTGGATGAATGTAAGACTTAAGTATTTAGGGAGGAGGGATCCAGGAACAACTTTGAAAAGGTTTTTTTTTTTCTGCAAAGTGAAACAAAAAGAAAGCGCACAAACCTTGCACATTACCTCAGTAAGCCATAATTTTATTACATTCAGAATAATACTCACAAACAACGAAGTAAATCAAGCATGTAAGTCCTCACAGGAACTTTAGAAGTGAGAAGCCTGTATGGGTCACATCATAGGGGTAGATTCTCAGAGTACGTCTGACGCGTTTCGAAGGGGGTCCCTTCTTCATTGAGCTCTGATGAAGAAGGGACTCCCTTCGAAACCTGACAGCTGTACTCTGAGAATCTACCCCTATGATGTGACCCGCACAGGCTTCTCACTTCTAAAGTTCCTTTGAGGACTTATATGCTTGATTTACTTAGTTGTTTGTATTATTCTGAATGTAATAAAGTTATGGTTTCCTGAGGTAATGCGTAAGGTTGATGCGCTTTTTGTTTCACTTTGCAGTACTGGTCGGGCTGCCCCAGCCTTGTTTAGAGCTGTACAACCTTATATGCATTGGTGGTCGAATTTTTGAAGTTCTGGTTCCATCCACCCTTGCTCTGGGTCATAGAGAGCAGGAGAGATCGTTTCTGGTTTTAAGGTTTTTTTTTTTTTCACCTTAACCTCCCTGGCGGCATTCCCGAGTGTAGCTCGGGGTAAAGTTTCAGTACCAAAAGCGGTAACCCCGAGCTACACTCGGGCTTACCATGCAGCGTTGCATAGGGAATCCCTGCAGCGCTTACCTTGTCCTTCGCTCCCGCGATGCGTCCTCTGCAGCATCCCCGGCCATCTCCTTCGGCCGATGCCGGCATCCGACTTCCGTGTTCCGGTCCCTGTGACGGCAGGATGTACGGGCGCCGGAAAATTTCATTTTTTTAAAAATGATTATTACATAGTAAAACATTGTGGTTTCAAAACATTTCACATACATTTTGTCCCTACTGCTTTGTCCTGTCCCCTGCCTGCATTTTGACTGTACTTTCTGCCTGGGAACTTAAAAAAGTCCATGGCGTCCAAAAAACGTCCCTTTATGTCAAAAGCGGTTTTAGACCGGCTAGTGAACAGCGATAGTAAATCAGAACCACTTGCAGAATTGAGTGATGATTCATTGGGAAATTCGTCAGACAATGAAACCGATTCTGCGACTTTGATCAGCGATGTGTGCACCTGGCGCTATATTTCAAATTTCTTCAGTGTTTTTGGTTTGATTATATTATTTAATTAAAATTATTATATTTTTATGATTATTAAATTATAATTTATGATTTTGTGTTTCAAGTTTTATCATATCCGGAATGTTTACTAGACTCTTGTTCGGACAGATTTCAGTGAGTTATTCCTAAATTACAGGCCTACAATAATAAAAAAAAAAGAAAATACATATTTCCATGCAAAAAAATTGTACCGCTTTCAGCACCAAAAATCTGAAATAATCATACCGCTAGGGAGGTTAATGCATAGAATACATTAAAGTTAAAAAAAAAAAAAATCTCCTTTTGACTTTATAACTATTTAATTTGAAAAATAGTAATCCCAACAATTCAAGAAACCTACATTAAAAAAAAGGTATAAATTATAACTTAATATATTTACACCAAGCAAACATACTGTAAACCCTTTCATTTAAGAAAATAAAGGAAGCTTTACAGCCTAAACATAACAAATATGAAAAAGAGACTGCAATCATCTGCAAGAAATAGATGCTGAAAATCCTGGTGCTGCGAAATAGCCTTTTCTAGCTCACAAATAAATAGCCATGTTGAAGTACATGAAGCATCCTGAGTGTGACCTGCCCACAGCACTGTGCTGGAATAATGAGGTATGACAGTTACCATGGCCACAAAGAGGCGCCGTTACCTGTAATGTACATAGTACGGGCAGGCGACAACCAGGACAAAGCCCCAGGACTCTTCAAAATGGGCTCTTCAATGTGGCAGTCTGAGTATTCCTGTGTATGAGTGTACATCTCCTACAGCTGTGTCCTTCATTAGAGAAACAAAGGAAAGGAAAGCAGATCCTGAATTGCTGCATTCAGCATTGCTAAAAGTAAAATCTAGTATACCTTGTTGGAAGCACTTACCCCAACTTACAAGAAATCAACTGCTGCAAAGTGACTGCAGAGCTCAATATCATTCCTGTGAAGACTAAGATTGAGCTTTGCAGTCACTGCAGTTCTCTTATTCCGGGTCTCATTCCCCCACACAATGTTCTTTTGTCTCTTTTGGTCAGCTGACTATGTCTACCGCGCTTATGCTCATCAGACGACGTTTGCCCATAAACTGTATATGCCACCATAACCTTCGATACGGCAGGAGATGATTAAAACATTTTCCCGGAGATGAGCATTTAAAAAAAAAAACAATATGCTGTGGTTCCTTCCTTGTTACAAGACTGCAGAGAAGGGGGGTCACAAGATGGAACCACAGAGCATGGTGGGAGACAAAGACATCTGAAACTCTTGGAAGTGTTCAGTGTCAGTCTAGCACAGCAATGGGCAAACTACGGCCCGCGGGCCATATACGGCCCGGCGGACCTTTTAATCCGGCCCGCGGAGCTAGGCTCCCGCTAGGCTCCTCTCACAGTCCGCCCTGAAGACCGGTGTAGCATGAAAATCTGTCTCCAATGAGGATCTGTCCCCCTCAACGTATCTGCGCATGTGCCGGAGATCGCCGATCGGCTGCTAATGCCTGAAACTGGCACATGCGCAGATACATCGAGGGGGACAGATCCTCATAGGAGACAGATTTTCATGCTACACCGGAACGGCGCGGGAATACGGCGAGAGGAACGCGCGGAGTAAAGGTAAGTGAATTGACACAGGGGGGACTTAATATGGGGGGTGAATTAATATGGGGGATGAATTACTACATGGGGGATGAATTACTATGAATTACTACATGGGGGATGAATTACTATGGGGGATGAATTACTATATGGGGGATGAATTACTATGGGGGGATGATTTACTACATGGGGGGGATGAATTTACTATGGGGGATGAATTACTATATGGGGGATGAATTACTATGTGGGGGATGAATTACTACATGGGGGATGAATTACTATGTGGGGATGAATTACTATGTGGGGGATGAATTACTATGTGGGGGATGAATTACTATGTGGGGGATGAATTACTATGTGGGGGATGAATTACTATGTGGGGGATGGATTACTATGTGGGGGATGGATTACTATGTGGGGGATGGATTACTATGTGGGGGATGGATTACTATGTGGGGGATGGATTACTATGTGGGGGATGGATTACTATGTGGGGGATGAATTACTATGTGGGGGATGAATTACTATGTGGGGGATGAATTACTATGCTTACTATGGGGGAATATTACTATACTTACTATGGATGACACATATACATCATTCATCTACTCTTGGTCCGGCCCCCGGGTCCAATATATGAACCCATTGCGGCCCTCAAGTCAAAAAGTTTTCCCACCCCTGGTCTAGCAGAAGCTGCAGCGCTGATGGTAGGAGACCCAGGCCGTCAGTAAGTGGAGTAAAACTTTCTCATGCTGGGTACCTTCTTCTGGATTCTGGTTTAGGGTCACCTTAAAGAAACCCAACACCAACTAAAAAGCACAGAAAAATAGCTGCTTACTTAATGCTCACTTTTAATTAAATAAATTTTATTCACTTGCAATGTGCCTTTGAAATACTGTATGTTGGAAAATTTGACTACTCCCTTCTTACTCTTCAGAGCCCTCTGCTCATCTGAGAGTGTCTGATTATTGCCTATGCAGGCCCAGCTTCTTTATATAACCCTATATGTAGCTGTGGGGAAGAAGTGAATGGGAATTCTACTCAGTGTCACTTGATTTCCATTGGCCAAAAGATTGTAGATCCCTTCCCCATTTCTCTGCAAGAACCATGCAAAAGATCTTCTGAGGAGTTTCTAAATGAGTGCTAAAATGACAAGTTTTATTCATGTAAACATCTACCCAATCTGAAAGTTGTATGAAATGCTACAACTCTACCATCACCATCCTTTTATAAATGATAGCTCTCTGATCATCATAGTGAAACTTTTCAACTTTTAGCCTGGCATAGATGACACAATAAAAAGCTAGTGATGCTCCTAATTTGTGCAACTAATGATTATTAAAAAGACCCTGTCAACTTGCAATTTAGCAGGAATCAGATAAAATTTAAGTTGAATCTAAATAATTAGCATATAAATACATACGATTGAACCGTTACAGATAAATCAACCCATATTTTCAGTTAAGTGGACCTTTCAGTCAAATGCACCATTAAAAGTTGGGAGGCACCAAAATTTAAGTGGCTGAAACGTTATGGCCAAAAACACCCCTTTCGGCCATCAGCCAATATGGGGGAAAAAAAGCCACATATGTAAACGGTGATCAAATGACAAACGTGAAGCATCATCACGAACGTCAGAGCAAGAGCAATAATTCTCACACTAGACTTCCTCTGTAACTTTACCCTGCTAACCTGTAGAAATGTTTAAAGCATCACCTATGGCGATTTTTAAGTACAACAGTTTCACGCCATTCCACAAGTGTGTACAATATTAAAGCGTGACATGTTTGGCATCTATTTACTCGCCGTAACATCCTCTTTCATATTTTACAAAAAAATTGGGGAATATATTGTTATTTTTATATATAAGTGTATTTTTTTTCCAAAAAATATATATTCATTTTTAAAAATTGCACATTTTGGTTTTCGGCCAAGTGCATTTTGAATTTTCGTTTTCGGCACCAGAATATTCATTTCGGTGCACCACTAATTAAAAGGATAACATGTTACAGCCATATTCAAGGTGTAACATGTAACTGTAAAGCAGCAGCCTCTGGCTGGTGAAAGCTCTCATTCATTGATTCTATCCTGCGCTTCAGTAACTTTCTGTTGGTAAGGAAGGTACGGGCAGACAGCTACACTGAGATTCTACAGGAGCCTGAAATTGCACCCGGTATCCGCTGATCACGGGTGCAGTGCTTTATATGCTGCAATGTAAAAAAATATAAATAAATATATATATATATATATATTAATTAATAGCAAATCATTTTGCAGGTGAATTTTATTTTTTTTAAAAACACAACAGGTGAATTTATACTTTAAGGCAAGGCTTGACAAGTCTGCTTTGAATCTAGGAGCCAGTCTCATTTTCAACAACTAAACTCCTCTCCGGCTTGACTGAAAAAGGTCTGTCGATCGGCCTCCGATCAGCGCTCTCAGCCAATGACTAACAGCGCTGACCAGTGTGGGGTGGGGGTCCCCGTCAGAACACAATAGCTCAGCGGGGAGATCGCTGTACTAACATTGGATAGTTTGTACAGAGAGCTCCCTGCAAGCTCCTCAGTTTTTTTTTTTTTTCCCATTCAGCCTGCTGGGTTGATTGAATATAGACTGCTAGTGTGTACTAGGCTTAAGCCCCTGTGTGACTGGTGCCCCAGGTTCCATGGGCTGTGCATATAACTGGTGCCACCTAGGATACACTGTGTTTGTACCCCTTGCAGTGAGGAGCAGGCTGGGCTCTCATCCAGGGAATGCTCCTCAGTCATATTTTACTCATATTCGCTCCTCGGGGTCAGTGTCATCCAGCATAATCCCACTGCAGTGAACAGTATTAGTGAATCACAGAAGTAGCAATGGCGGCTCTAATGCTCTGGACTTCATGTGCCCTGCTTGTGCCTTGTCATTAGCCCCAGATCAGACATGCATCTAGTGCCTGTTCTCTTTCCGTTCCCTCGCCACCTTCTGCTTTCAACGGGGGTGATAGATCCAGCCAAGACACCCGCTTTCCAAAAAGCCGGCTGGTGGGGGGGCCAGTGGGCTCTGCCAGGTAGACGAATCCTCCCTCCTCCTCCACTCCAGGCAGCCACCGGGGAAACCCAGCTGGACTGTAGTCGGCTCGCCCCTCTTTGCCATGTCAGCAGCTGCCACGCTGCTCTCTTCTGCTCCATCCCTGGGTCATCTTAACCCAAGCTGCTAATC